TGATATTTTTTTTAGATTTTTATTTATAGGAAATATACATATTTTTAGGTTCTATGCTGGAGGTTATAGTTTTCTTTTAAAGAAAGTCTAGGTTAGTTAAAAGATAGCTTGATTTTTCTTAAGAAAAGTTTAAATTTATTAACTCAGTCTTTAATTAGGAGTTGTTTGTATTTTTTAAGATTTTTATTTAGTAGAAAAGGTCTACGTTTTTAGCTACAGTCTTCATATAGTTTCCTTTTCTTTGTTTATTTCTTAATGATTTAATTTAACAAATTAATGCAAATAATTTGGCTGAGAAATCTTCTGTTTTTTTCTTTAGCCTTGTAGATAAATTAAATCAACTTTAATTTGAGAAAACAGTGCAAATCGTTTTCCGGCCAAAAAAAAACTCCACCTGCACTAATGACTTTTGCCAGATAATTTGTATCTCACTATATGTATAGACTCTATAGAGTTTCTATAGATATTGTAGTATGAGATCATTTTTTGGGTCTCAAGATATTCAACATTTATAATGACTGTTGGGCTTGTTGTGTTTTCCACACCAGCCATTTGATGTGACAATCGATGGCAATATATCACCTATCTGGATCCGATCCAGACTTGCATTATAATTTCCCACACGCTCTTTAAAACTTTGACAGCCATCCATCGATCAAAAGTTGTTTTTTTTCGATGTCCAAACTCCAAAAAAAGACTGGACTAAAATTGAATTATTTTTATTTTTCCCATGGCACAGTGAAGACCGGCTAATAAAGATCCAGTTTTTCTGATTTTTTTTTTGTGGGTTATTTTATATGCAAGCAACGACCCACGAAAGTGCTCTACTTTTTTAAGAACTTGTGGGGTTTGGGCGGTCGAAGGGGTCTTCGGTAGAGGAGGGAGACTCTTTTTGGAGACTCTGAGGGGGCTTGGGGGCTTTATAGAGCCATGTTTTATTCACCTGGGGCGATGTCATACCCAAAATAAGACGCAAACAATTAACAACGAAACCGAAAACACAAATAAGTCCACGAAAGCCAAACATAAACATGTTTTTTGATCAACTTTGCCAGTACACTGTGAGAAATAATGATTAAATTAAAAAGGTTTTTTAAGAATTAGAGTCTATATAGAATTTTGGTATATTTCTTCTTGTTTTTCTTCTATTTCTTCAATATATCTACCCTAATTTTTAACAAAATAGACAGCTATCTTCAATTATTTTGAAAGTATTATTTTCTTAAATATTTATTATTTTTCTCTCAGTGTCTATGACACAATTCAAATTCCCTCGATTCGCAATTGAAGAGCCAACAGCAATTAGGTCACTTTAATATGCACATGCAGTCAGATTGAAGATTGAAATGGTTTCGATATTCGGGCGAAAAATGTATATCAAAATCTATATATCTATATATATATATACAAAGTGATGGCAATTAACGCCGGCAGCAAAGTGCAAAGCAATTCTTCTGATTGTTGTTGTGCCCTCTCGCTTCCCCCCCATTGCTGCTTTCTCCCTTGCTCCCGCTTAGTTCAATGTCAGAGTGGATGGGGAGCCCACGCAGTGTCGACAGGTGGCGCTATTTTGCAATTTTGTAGGTGTTTCACTTTGAGAAAAATATTTTAAAAATTTTTAGTAAGCGTTTTTTTAATGTAAAAAAATTAGATTTATAAAAAAATTAAATTTGAAGCATTTTTTAGTATTTTATAGGAAGAAATTATTAAGAAAACTTTACTTATTCTTCATATTTTGTAGAAATTGCTTGTTTGGGAGTTAGTATTTTATACTAAACTTACAGAAATTATTAGAAATTGATTATTTCTAGAAACTTAAAGCCTTTTTTTTAAATATCTTTTAATTTCCACTTTGATTTTTGATTATAACATGATACGTATACGTAATATTGGTAGAAGGTCTTGTTAAATAATGAAATTAATGAATATATTAAAAATCAATAGGATCTTAATTTAGTCCTATTCTAAATAAAAGTTTATAATTGTTTATATTTATTTATCTAACTGTAACCTTACTTAAAACCCTAAATTTCCTTGGGCAACATTACGTATACGTAATATATTTTTTTCTCAGCTTATAAATTAAAGTAAAAATTGCTTAAATTGGTTTTAAATTTCTTAAGATATATAAAAAGGTTTTAACTTAAAAAAATACTTTCCTAAATATAATTTAATTTTAATTCGTTATCTTCTCACGTTTTTTGCGAAGAAATTCTTCTGGGTTTCTGGGCTAATATGGGAGTGCTATGCTATATATATAGTATAGTATATAGTACCTTTAGATTTCTTGTCTTATCGGGACTGATAATGCAATTAAATGAGGAAACATTTAGTCATGAGCTAATCGCAGTCAAGGTTTATCTGTGAACACTGTACAGTGAAAAAATGCGCCCAAGATGCGTGTCGTTATCTGTCTCTCTTTTTTCTCCCTGCCTTGCTATCTCTTTCTTGGGCTACGTTGATTTCCTCTCAATTAAGTTTTAATAAACTTTAATTTAAATAAAAGAAAGATTTTTTTTTTGCTGCCAAAAACACGAAATATACAACAATATTGACCTCCAGAGCTGACACGACAGCTAAAAATGAACAACGGCCACAACGGCATATATTAACAAAAAAAAAAAATAGCAACAAAACACCGTAAAAAAACCAAACAAAAAATAAAAAAAAAAACTTTAAAATAATTTATCAGCATTCGCACATCAACAAAATCTCGCACGTCACGTCATCATCATCATCATCGCCAGAAAAAGATGGAAATACTGGGCGATCTCTAGTTAAAAAGAGCAAGACCCCATCCATCAGAGGGGGGGAGGGGAGGGAGTCAGAGAGTGAGAGACAGTAGTGTAGGGGGGGTGGGGGGGGTAAGACAGTGATCCGTCCCATCATTCCTCATCATTAGGCTTGCGGTCGACTTCAGCGCCGACGCCGACGTCAGCTGGTATAGGCGGCGGGCGCCGACGCTGAACAGGTTGCTGCTGCCGGCGTCGCTGCAGAGGTGCGAATTCTGCTGCTGTCGCTGCTGCTTGCCGCTGCCGCTGCTGCGACTTCCAGTGGCTTCGAAGTCAACTCAACTGGTTATCATGGCCTGGCACTTTTAGAAATTACGTCATTCGGGCAGAGGCAGTGTTACACGGAGAGAAAATAAACAGGGTTTTTTTATATTTAAATTAGAAAGTTTTTATTTAAAAAAGAAATCAGTTTTTAATAATATATTTTTATATATTTTAAGTATTTATTTAAAACTTTTTAAATTAAAGTCAATAATTTAGTTCAGTGTTTGGCTATGGGTGCTGAGGTTGGGGCTGCGACGCAAGCAGAGGCGTTTTAAGACGCAGGTCTAGACTGCGACCACGCGACCAGTTCTTAAATAGACAAAAAAAAAAAACAAAAACAACAAAATCACACAAATAAACAAAACAAAAACAAAAAAGATCAACAAAGGCAAAGTTGCAAACTTTTTTGCACACGAACACAAACACACGCACAACAAACACACACTCAGTGGTGTTTACTTCTCTCTCTTTTCTTTTTTTTTTGTTTTTTTTTGTATTTTTTTGATTTCTTTTTGCATTTGTTTTATTTTGTCAATTGGAATCTGTTGATTTTGGGCGAGTGAAAGCGCCATCTGAAAGTGATGGAGCGCCATCTGGTGTGTCTGTTTTGTCTGAAAAGAAAGCACCTCACCGATGAGGTGGTATTGGCCATCAATCATCATGATGGCCCAGAAATACAAACTAATATTTATGAGATTTTCCTAAGAAACTAACTCATTAGGTTTTCATTTAAGTTTAAAAATTACCCCAACAGATGGCGCTTGATCTTATGATCCTCAAAGTCTCTCGTTTTTAGGATAATGCTAATTATTAATCTTAAATAGCTTATTTAATTATTCATAATTTCATTTCCTGAATACAGTTCCATTTAATGTTTAGGAACTTCCCCCCCAGTCTAAAAATAAATAGTTAACAAAGCTCCACTGGCTCTAGCTCCCACTTTGCATATAAATATATATACTATATAGCTATATACACTACGATATGGTAGATGGAGGTGTCATTATTGTTAATACAAATGTTATTTGACATGTTTTTCCGCCAAAAGCGATCGCGATCACTTTTTTGTTTGTTTTGTTTGGTGATATCACCGCTTCGACGACGTCTAGATTGTATACCGATCGGTAACTCTCCTACCTTTCTATATAATTTTTTAAGTAAATATGGCTCATTGTTGTTGGCAAAACGGATCCGCTTATCGGTCACTACGAATGGCATTATTTATTCTTTTTTTTTTCTAATAATAATTTACCTTTATGGAATTTATGGGTTTTAGATTCAAGGGTTAGTTTTTATGATTCTGGGTGGTATTCCTGGGAACTACAATGACTAGAGAAGGTTTCTAAAGAACTCTAAGAACTTTAAAATTACTTTTAGCTAGGGGATATATAGCTAGGGATATCCTATAACTAAAGAAAGTCAAGACTTTAGATCTTTTTTTATTTTTTTTTAATTAGTTTTTTGATCTTTCCCATTTTGGTAATCGTCTGAAATGTAAGAATATATCGGGGGCGTCATCATAAAGATCATCCATAAACGAATTCCGAAAAAAAAAACATCGTGTCTGCTGACTCGATTTCGATCTATATGGCCACTTGGCTGAGTCAGGCCGGTCGGATGTGTTGGCTGGCCGGCTAATTGCGGGGCCGAGACGGTTGGCCACTGGCAGGGGGTGGCCCGGTTGTGGCCATACAAGGCAAAGCCCAGTAACAACAGCCGTCGCTGCAAGCGTGGGCCTCACTGTACTCTGTACGCCACTTCACTCCAAAAAGGCACTCACCGACTCTCAGTTCACTTGGCTTAATTGGCTCAAGGACGGAGGTGTCTGGAAAACACTACACACGTACTTGGCCATAATTTATAGCAGTAGTTCGACTACTGTTACTTCTTGTTATATTTATTTTTTATTTTTTACTTATAGAGATTTTCTTGATTTTTTTTTAGTGGCAGCAGTCCGAGGACAGCGAACGCAAAAAGCAGATCCGATCGCATCTCTATAAGCTGCGCGAATCGCGACTTTGCAATCTCTACAGGCACGACCCAGATCCAATGTCGGAACCCAACGGCACCAGCACCCTGACCGGCTACGGAGGCAAGGATCCATTGGCCACCAGCCATGGGGATGCCCTGCTGGATCAGAACTTCCAGAGCCTCAAGTCCAAGGAGGTTAGGGACTCGACCAGTCCCACCAACGAGCTACGTTTCCATTCGATGAGCCTCACCCAGCCGAACACCACCGGGTGGGATGTGCAGACCTCCTCGGAGGTGAGTCCCGATGGGAGGGCCTATCGCACCGAGACTCTGGCCAAGACAGACGGTAAGTTTCACCTAAAGGCGTTCTTCGGTGTTGGCTAATATGTCTCTGGCCAACAACCTTCCAAAATAAACAATGATACAGGCTGATACAGGCCGGAGAGTCGAAAAGTCTCTGGAATCAGTCGGTGTCATTCGATAATTATCGAATTATTAGAATTAGAATTATAATTCTAACCCCTTGTCCCTTGTCGGTGTTGTTTCTTTGTGTATAACCCCAAAACTCTGTCTGTTCTGTATGTTCATGTTCAACACTCGACCTTCAACCCTCGACCGTCAACCGTCGACCTTCGACCCTCGCCCTTCGACCTTCGACCTACGACCTTCGACCCGAAACACACACACACAAATATCAACCCACAACCAAACCTCTACAATACAATAACAGGCGTGGAGAAGCTCAATGGTGGTGGCCTGGCCGAGTTCAAAGGTCGCAACGAGCAGATATCGAGTGCCTCCCACCAGGGCGATGACAAGAACTTTGTGAAGCAGGCCTCCGAGAGCTCCAAGACCCAGCTCCAGGAGAAGGTGGTCTTCGGGGACGAGAACAGCGGTCGTACCGAAATGAAAATGAGCTCCACCTCGACCTCGTCGTCCTCCAAGGTGGTGTCCTCCTCCTCGACCACGGAGTACGGAGGCGATGAGCCGCGCTATCTGCTGGACAGCCATACACAGGATAGACAGCAGCAGCGGGAGTGGGAGCAGGAGCAGCGCTTCCAAGAGCAGCGCCTCCAGGAGCAGATCCAGCGACAGGAGCAGCAGTTCCGTCAACAGGAGCAGCTCCAGCGTCAGGAGCAGCAGCATCGTCAGGAGCAAATCCAGCGACAGGAGCAAATCCAGCGACAGGAGCAGCAACAGCACCAGGAGGAGCGCATCTCGGAGAGCCGCAACGTCCAGACCCAGCAGCACTACGAGGAGAACAAGCGCTACGTGGACATGGACAAGGCCTCCCCGGAGTACCAGCGCCATGTCCAGCACCTGATGGCCCAGCCCGGTGAGATCATCTCCAATACGGTGGAGTATCCCAAGCCCAATGTCAAGATGATCACCACCGTGAAGCGACTGCCCGACGGCACGATTGTGAAGAACAAGCGCTACGAAACGGAGCAGGTGAATCCCAGCCAGAGTCAGACGAGCCATCACCAGACCCACAATCAAACCCACACCCAGAACAAGACCCAGACTCATCAGAATCTTCAGCAGAATCAAAACCAGCGACAGGTCCAGGACGTGCAGGACAGTCAGGTGGAGCGGCAGGAGCGACAGGACCGCCAAGAGCATGTGACCCAGTCGCAGAGCTTCTCCTCGGTGAAGAAGTCCAGTCGCCGTTTCTCCACAGAGACCACGTCGGAAACCGTCGAGGAGTACGATGATCGCGGCCAGCCCCTGTCCAGGATTCAGCACAAGCCGACGGCTCACGCTCAAGCCCCACACCCCTCTGGCCAGCACTCGCCGCGCCAGTCGCCGGCCAAGGACTTCAGCACCCACGGCTTCCCCTCGGTGCGTCCCAACAAGCCCACCCAGGAGTACATCAGCCAGAGGCCCACAACGGCCGGTCCCGATGGCGAGGAGGTGGTGGTGGTGCGCTCGGAGAAGAGCCGCCAGGTGAAGCAGCAGACCAGCTCGCAGCGCACCACCGAAACGGAGGTCCTGGGCGGCGAGGACTACCCGCCCAGTTGGGAGCAGCCGGCCGCCAACAGACGTCAGCCCGTCGAGGACTTTAGCACTCATGGGTTTCCGTCGGTGAGGTCGGCGCCCCACTCCGACCAGCCCGACGGGGAGGCGCTGCAGTCGGCCAAGCTGGTGAGTCGCAACCAGAGTGCCAGCCGGAAGACCAACACGGAGAGGATCATTGAGACCCAAGTGGAGGGTCAGCCGAAAACCCACTCCCCCGTCAGGCCAGTCCCTCACGTCGATCTCAGCCCCGTGAGGATTACAGCACCCAGGGTTTCCCCTCGGCCCGCACCCCGGCAGCCGGTAAGCCCAGTCAGCCCCAGCGGCCCAGCAGCACTACCAAGACCACCACTACCACCACCACAAAGTCCTCGACTCCGGAGCCGATCACGCGCCGGCAGTTGCAGAAGGAGCGTGAGGTGGACGCCGCCCATCGGGCGTTTGCCGCCTCGCTGCGCAGCAGTTCGCCGGCGGAGAGCACCACCTCGACAGGATCGCAGCCGCACCACCGGGAGTCGCCGCACCATCACCAGCAAACGCCGCGCTCCAGCATCTCGTCCAACCGCACCTATCGCCGGGAGATGCGCGAGGGCTCGCACGAGAGCCAGGCTCCGTCCGAATCGAGCCGGATTAGCTCCACCACGGTGACTCGGCACTCGGGCGGTAACTCCACCACCACCACCACAACCACCAAGAATAGAACCACCAAGCCACCAGTTCGAGGCCCCAGCGAGCCGCGGTCCCCAACACCGAAGACGGGAGGAACTGTGACCTCCACCACGACCATCACCAGCACCACCAAGTCCAGTCCCAGTCCGGTTCCGGTTCCGGCCTCACCCACTTCAACCACGGCGCCAGGTACGAATTAGAGAAAATGTGAAAAAAATTATTAAGTAAAGAAATCACATGACTATATGCTTATATAAAAAAAAAAAAAACTATATATATATATATATTGGAACTATGAACTATGTATATGAATGTATATCCTTCAGATAACAAGCTATCACAGTATACGTATACTACCACTAAGCCTGGCGATATATTCTCTCTGCCACCAACTACTCCTCCTACTATTAACAACGAACCGACACTAACCACCACCACCACCACCAACAAACCAACAACAAGAACCACAGAGAACATCCAGAGCTCCAACGCCAAGTCCGAACCGACCTCCATCCCGAACCACCACCCAGATAGCCAGACGATCCGAAAACTAAAAGTTAGTAGTAATGAGGCGGTGGCGGCAGTGGTGGAGGAGTCGCCCTGTGTGAAGCGTCACTATTACAAGCTGGGAAACGAGGGGGAAGTCCCTGTGGGCGACCACCAGACCACCCCCGAGAAATCCCCCGGTAAGGCTTGAATTGCCACATGAAATTACAGTCTATTTAAAACATGAAACTCTGTACACTTAACTACTATATGCTATATCGATTACTATACTTCTTTTTATTTTTTGGAACTATTTTGCAAATAAATAAATCAAAACCGCAATTCTGAAATATTCAATGTCTTGACCAAGCACCACCACAAAAAACTTGAAATCGCACCACTGGGATTCGAAACTGGGCCTCAGGTCTCTGATCTCTGATCGCAGAGCTGGCGGTGGAGATCTGGGGCCCACAATTAATACTCTTCCAAGGTCTAACTTTCCTCTCTATCTTTTGAGCTTCAACTAATGGGTGTGCCTGCCTGCGCCTGCGCCTGCGTTTGCCTAATCCAGTAGACAATTCTCTAACCCCAAGCTACCAGTCGTAGTTGTAACTAATCCTAATCCAAACTAATCCATGCCCGGGACGAGCCACAACGGTAGAGACACTCACCCACTTAGCACAAAAAAAAAAACACAAAACTGGTAGTTCAAGTTGGTAGTTAGACGAGATCACACGTAGCTCCTTGAGTCCCCCGATCTTATGCCCTCATCCGTTGTATCATCATCAGCCAGCAAGAAGTCCCATCCGCAGAGGAAGCCTTACGATGAACCGGAACCGGAGTTCCAGCCCAGACGGAGCTCCAAGTCGCCCAGCGTGGAGCGACGTACGGTGCAGCGGGAAACGACGTTCGAGGGACGCCGCATCTCCCAGCCGGAGGAGGAGGAGCTCTTCATCGATGAGCTGATCCTCGTCGATGAGCAGATAAATGGAGCTCCAGGACTGCCTACATTGCCGCAGAAGACTCAAGCTCCCGAGCAGCCAAAGGCCACTCCCAGGAAAAGCCCCGAGAAGGAGGTTAGCCAGCCGGCGAAGCGCGCCCAGAGTCCTGGCTGGACTCAGCCCAAGATATCACCCCGACAGAGTCCCGAAAAGCAAGTACCCCGAGCTCAGAGCCCGGAGAAGTCCTCGCCCAGGCAGAGTCCTGAGAAGCAATCACCAGGAGCTCAAAGTCCAGAGAAAGCACCGGCACCTCGCGTTTCACCTCGCCAGAGTCCCGAAAAGCAACTGACCCCCCAAGAGAAACCCCGCCAGAGTCCTGAGAAGGACCTCCCGAATCAACAACGTAGAGAAGAGGAAGTCTTCCGAAGCACCATTACCACAACCCAAAAACGAACCACCAAGAATCTAAACGAAGAATTCCTAACGAACGAACGAGATAATCAGAATCAGACGAACGAAAAACCGAAGCCCCAAGTTCCAGAAGAATACGAGCCAAAAGCTGAGCCAGAGGAGCCCGTTGAGAGTCCTGATGGCACCTTCCTCTCCAAGAGCCCAGAAGCCGAGCCCGAAGAGAACCAACCTCCCACGTACCGTAAAAAGGGTCTGACTCGTCGTGAAACCTTTGAGGATCGTTGCCGCAAGATCCTGGGTATGGAAGAGGATGGTGACACCCAAGGTAACTACACCCCGAAGCCAGATGATGAAGAAGACGATCAGGACGATCAGCAGGTTACTCAGACCACTGTCGAGACCATTGAGGTGAAGATCGAAGACTGCCCGGACGACAGTGACGATGATCGGCCGCGCCGAGTGACCGAAACCTTTGTGGTTCGTACCCAGCCGAAAATCAAGGTGGAGGAGGAGCTCCTCATAGATGTGACTGAGTGCGAGGAGGTGGAGACCTCAACTCAGACTCCCAAGAAGGACCAGGGCCCGACATATCCCAAGGAGTATCCCGAAAAGGATTTGCCTAAAGAGAAACCCGCTCCCAAGTACCCGAAAGCGGAAGAGACTCCCAAGTTCCCGAAGGAACCTGAGAGTCCTAAGTATCCGAAAGAGAGTCCTAAATACTCCAAGGAGCCAGAGGCTCCCAATTATCCGAAGGATCAATCGAGTCCCAAATATCCAAAAGAGCCTGAAACTCCCAAGTCATCCAGGAAGGAAGAGACTCCCAGGAATCCCAAGGATGACGCTGAAACCATTAACGTCAACGAGCAAACCACCATCGTCATCACCAAAAAGGGCTCCAAGTCCCCCTCTCCTTCTCCTGAACGGAAGACTCCCAGGACCTCGCAGCCTGCTTCGCCCACCAAGCCCGACACAAGCTTCTTGGCCGAGAAAGTCATTGATTGCCAGGGAAAGACTGTTGTGGAGAAGATTACCAAGAAGCCACGTTCTCCTAGTCCCACTTCCCCCAGGAAGCTAACAAAACCAGGCCAAAAGCAACCGGAAAAGGAGCCTGAAACAGAGTCGGAGCCGGAAAAGGAGTCTGAACCGGAAACCAAGAAGAAGTCCTCTGTGAATGTCACCAAAACGGAAACCGAACGTCGCAATTCCCGAACCACAAAGACGAAGCAGCCATTGGCTCCGAAAGAGTCGCCTTCCAAGGCTCCACAGCCAAAGAGTCCCCGCAAGGACTCGCTGAAGGATCGCAAGCGAGACAGCCTGGTGGAGGAGACTCGTACCACCACAAGCACCACCACGACAACCACGAATGCTCGTTCGGGTCGCAAGCCCAGCGATTCCAACATCAAGGATCGTCTGCGGTCTTCGCCTCGAAAGCAGAAGACTGCACCGCAGCAGACAAGGACACCCACTCCGGCTCAGGCTCGCTTGCCCGAGGATAACGTGGACGGGGATTCCACATCTCCGGATGTAAGTCCCTCGAGGGTCAGCACCGAACGCCGTCGATCGAGCAACATTTCTGTGCACACGGAGATCATTATAGATCACACGGCTCCCAAGTCCCCGAGGACGGAGAGACGTCCTCAGCACACTAATGGAGTAGCTCCCAGTCCGATCCGTAAGTTGCCCGTCACGGAGCGCAAGGAATCGGCGCCAGTGCCGCGAGTAACTCGTCGGGACAAGAACGAAAAGGTGACACGCTCCACCAGCGAGAACATCATCAAGATGCAGTCCAGTCCAGCCAAGCCCCATCCGGAGATGAGTAGCCTGAAACCGGTCGGAGAGCCGCGGAGCAGGCCCAGCAAGTGCTGCACCACCAAGACGATTAACCTCAGCGAGCAGAGAATCCACAATACCTCCGAAATCGAGGGCATCATCATCGACATCCAGCAGGCGAAGAGCTCTCGGGAGCCGTCTCCGGATCGCATTGTACCCACTCCGGTGGCAGCTGACGTGGAGACGGGTAAGCCGCGCTACCCGGACGTCGTGCAGGAGCCGGATGACGAGCCACGTCGCAAGCCGCAAGTCACAAACATTCCCATTTTCGAAGAGGAATCTCAGTCCTTTGTGGGCTGCCAGATCTCGGAGATACGCAACTCGAACGGCCTGGAGGACGACATCCTCGATAATCCCACCGTGGAGGCGCCGAAGAGTCTCGATTATCCTGTGAATCCCATCGACGTGGACGAGAGTCTGCTGAGTGTCCACGAAAAGGTCTCGCGATTCACCCACTCCGCCGAGAAGGTGAAGCAGCCACGGGTCTCCGCTCCCTTCAGTCGAGAGTTCGACACGCACGCCAAGATCTCCGAGAACGACGAGTGCCTCCTGAGTATCAACCAGAAAGTGGACAAGTTTCTGCGCACGGCTGAGAATGTGACGAGGCCGACTTCGCTCTCGCCGCGATCGGAGATCGAGCGCCCAAGCCGGGAGGATATCGACGAGGAGCTGCTCCAGGACGACTGCACGCTGTCCGTCTCCCAGAAGGTCAGCAAGTTTATCGACACCGCCGAGAAGCTGGCTCCCACTGTGCCCCAGAAGTCTCCACGCCTGGTGGCCAACATAGAACGCCACATCTCCCGGCAGAGTGAGCCGGAAAGGGAGCTCGATGAGGAATCGGAGCCAGAGCTGGAACGAGAAACCGATGAAGAGATTGAGGAAACAACTAGCCACCTGGAAGAGGAGAAAGATGTCAGGCACACGGTCACCAGAAAAGAGATCATCAAGGAGACTCGCAGGACCTCTAAGGATGAGCCGAAAAAGGTGCCTCAAAGGGAGACCAAGAAGGAACCCTCTTCCAAGCCCAAAGAGGAGCCCGAAACCAAGAAACTGGGTAAGGTGCCTCTATGGGAGCCCAAACCTAAACAGATTACTCCCAAGGAAACCAAGCTGTGGGAGCCCAGGAAACCCGTCCAAAGCAAGCCCAAGGACGAGGCCAAGAGGGACACCAAGTTGCCCCAAACGAAGCTCCGGGAGGAGCCCAAGAAGGTGCCCCAAAAAGAGCCGCGTAAGGAGCTTCCAAAGCAACCGGAAGAAGAGCCAGAGCTATCTCCGGAAGATGAGGTGGACGAGGAGCCCCTTCCCATGAGCAAGACCCACACCACGGCCATCGAAATGAAGCGTCAAAAGGACATTCTCTCGCGTCCTTCGGTCTTCAATCAACGTACGCCAGAACGCAAGCCCTCGTATCCTTCCTCGCCGACGAAAGTGAATGGCAGTCGTCCAGGACGACCGAGTCCTAGCACCAGTCTGATCACCGAGGAGAAACGATCCTACAGGAACCAGGTGACCACCAATCCGACCAAGCCGGTAGCCAAGAAAACGACACCCTCCACCACTCCCTCGGCACAATCGCCCACTCCCAAGACAGCTAGTGCTACCACAAAGCGAATGGAGCACGTAACCCAGCAACAGTGGGTCGTCCAGGACGTGGATGTGGACGTGGAAGTGGTCGGACCTGCTCCACCCTCCCACATCGTCGAAAAGACCCAGGGAAAGAGTCCATCGCCGAGTCGTTCGCCGTCACGATCTCCCTCCCGATCGCCCAGTAGACGCACCTCCAGCACCACCACCACGACCACCACCACCACCACTGAGCACCAACGTTCCCCAAGCAAGACTGCCCCAGCCACTCCTAAACCGACATCGACTCCGACTAACCTGACCAAAGCCGAACCCGAAATCATGCCCATTGAATCCCTTACAGAAACCAAGAGCACCACCACAACCACCACGACGACCGCCGCAGGACGTTCGGTGGCTAACCGCAGGAACGTGTTCGAGCCCACCGCCCCCCAGGAGACTCCGGAGGGTCGTCGTCCCTCGTACATGGACCACACGAAGAGTTCGCTGGAGCACATTCGTCGCGATTCCCTGGAGATCAACAAGAGTCACTACTCGAGGAAGTCCTCCGTGGAGGACGATTCTCCGGCAGAGCCACGCAATCCCAACGCCGCAGTCAAGTTCGATGTGCCGCGGAAAGGGTCCCAAGAGCCCCGGAAGACATCGCTGAAGGGTAAGGAGGACGACTCCGATCTGGAGCTGGAGATCGAGGAGATCTTCGACTTGCAGCGCCTGGAACAGCTGCTGGAGACGGTTTCCAGCTACGAGATGCGTCGCAGGATCCGCGCCCAGATGCGTCTCATCCGGAAAAACATGATCAATGCTGGCGTCACTAGCACCACCACAGTTACCACCACCAGCACATCCACCTCCCCGGGCAAGAGCTCGCCCTCGCCCAAGAGGCGGGAGCAGAGCCCTCTGGGAAGTCCAGAGAGCAAGATCACTAGTCGCACCACCACTTCCAGGCGAAAACAGCGCACGGAGCAGGTGGATAGCACCACTTGCTGTCCTGGAAAAGTGTCTCCCACTGGAAAGCCTCCTGTGAAGCCGCGCGAGAGGAGCGCCAGTCCTGCCCAGAAGCGAAGGACCAGCCCACCCGGTAAACCATCTCCGGGGGGTGGCAGCACCACCACCACAACAACAAAGGTCACCACCACCAGCACCACCCGTGGCGTGCCCAGCAAGCCATCGCAAGGTCCCATCTGGGCGGATCGCTCCAAGGTATTGAAGGGCCATGCCCCGATTACCCAAACGAATGGCAGTACTCCTCGCAAGGGATCCACCTCGAGCACCACTTCGACCTCAACGAGTGGCAAGATTAGCCGGACGATGACCAGTTCCAGCACCACCACCAGTAGCACCACCAATTCGAGAAGCAAGCAGCGCGAGGAGGACTCGATCACCTCCAGTTACGGCGTGGGACCGACGGACGAGAACGGATTGCCTGTCTTTGGCTTAAGGGCCTTGAAGAAGAAGTCCACGCCTCCGGCAGACGAGCCCTGTGAGACCAAGCAAGGTGAGTTTGGATATCCTTAAAGTCCACTTTCCAATCTAATGAATTTTCCTCCCCAGAAGTCACAGGGTACGTGATCGAGGAGCAGTTCTACTCGGACAACAAATCCCCGCCACGTCACGAACGCAAGGAGCTGATCTACTCCAGCAACCCCGAAGAACTGGCCGCCATCAAGCAGAAGCTGCAGGACGAGGACCAGGACGATGGCTCTGTGCCACAACTGGACTCTCGTCTGGTCAGGGAATTCAAGAAAGTGGAGGCCCAGTCGCAGTCCCTGCCACCCGAAGACGCCAGATACGTGCGTCGCGGATCCGTGAAGGAGCTGAGCGAAAAGTTCATCCGCAAGGAGTCCTCCTCCTCCACCCATTCCACCCACTCTTCCACCCTGATACGCAACGAGGACGAGACGGAGGACGACAGCGAGTCCACAGAGGTGTGCAGCGTCATCGAGGCGCCACAAATGCGTCAGAGTCACGTGACCAGCTCCACCCGCTCCAGTAATACCCGATCCTTCCTCAATGCCAGTGCTGATGAGCGTCAGGTGACCAGTGTGGACGATGTCCTCGAAAGGATGCGTAATGCGGATAATGGTAGGATTAGAGAGGATGAACCTCTTAAGAAGTATAGATTCTAAAGATGATCCTATTTCAGTTGAAGAGCCTGGAGACTCGAACGAAGATCGGGAGGCACGTGCTCTCCTCAACAAGTTCCTGGGCGCCAGCGTGATTATGCAGGGCGTGGAGAGCATGCTGCCACCCACGGCCACAGGACAGCGTTTAAATAGTCAAGGGGTGAGTTTTTATATAATTATTAAATATTATTATTAAAAATATATATTAAATCTAGTAAGATAATATTTTTAAATGCACTTTATGGTAGATAATTTTGTGCAGTGTCATTCGGTCATAACCTAACCTCAATGATCCGCGCAAGCACGTGCACGTGCTTGATTAACCGTTAACTGAGCGCGTGCGCCTTCGTTCTGCTGTCTGCTCGCTCTCTCGCTAGCCCCAAAAACAGCTCTCCCCATGAACTCTCTCAATTTCTCCCCCTTTCTCCCACCTCGCCGCATTAAAGCTTGAAGCTTGCTCTCCATCGCTTGGCCGCTCTTGTGCTCTTCCGCTCTCGCACTTGTGTGCCGTGTGCGTGATGCGCAAAGGAGCAGCAAGCCACAACAACAAAAAGCTCATCACCACAGCCAGTGGCAGAGACAGAGACAGAGACAAAAGCAGTGGCTGAGGCTGAGGCAGTGGCTGAGGCAGTGGCAGAGGCAGCGGCGCATCTCGCCATCGACATTCGAGGGAATTGTCAGTACACACTCAGAGGCGGCATCGATCACTTGTGCGAACCCACTGATCCGACAACAACAACAACAACAACAACGACACGGGCACGAAACCAACAACAACAACAAAAAAAATATATATAAAAAAAAATAGAAGATAGATGTGTTGAATGAAAAAAAAAGTAATAAAAAAAGAAAGAAAAGAAAAAAGTAATAGAAGAATTAACAAAAGACAAGCATCATCATCATCATCATCATCAGTAGAAGAATCTGTAGCCGGAAGAGAAGCGTCATTTTTTTTCTGTGCAGTTCTGTTATTATTGTTATGGTGAAAGAACGCGAGTGTCCATATTTGGTCTAAACATCAACCCAAAGCAACAACAACAACAACAACATTGTTGGCCAAAAGAACCGCAATAGCAACGGGGCTAGAAGAATTGTAAGTCCAACGAAGGGGGGTTTCTTAAATCTTTCAAACTATTAAAAGCTAAAAATATTAAATAATATTATTTAATTGAAAAAATTAAGAAGAATTGAGAAAACAATTCTTAAATCATAACCCCCTTTCTATCTTATAATACCACCTCCCTTATAATGCGGGGGCGTGTCTGTGGGGGGCGAGGGGTGGCAGCAGCTGTTGGGGCCAAATACTTTTGTCAATTATTTTTAGTGCGCATAATTTTTCTGGCAAGAAGAATTCCTGTCACGACACCTCAAAATGCACCTGAAACCGTCTTCTATATATATACACTATACAATACACCATATAGAATATATATATACATATATATATATCTTAGGATATATCCAACTGATACATATATCTATTTATACATAGACCGTGTCTATAAGTCTGCCCAACAGACATGCTCCTCATCGAGCAAATAAATAAATAAATACGCTTAAGAGAAGAAGAATTAGTTGGGAAGAATTGGTCGGAATCAGGCGGGAGAAGACTATACGGGAGAGAGAGAGAGTGCCAGGAGGAGCAGGAGGAGAATGCATGAATGAGAGCGTCAAGCGTACGGAAAATTTCGACAAAAATAGCTCCAACGACGGGCACTATTTTTACGGACTATACCGACTATACGGATTTCTACGTTGGACTATGTTGGAACAACATCACGCACTACAATCTATACTATATGGTATATATGTATGGGGAGGGAGGTGCATGTGCAGCGGATTTAGGCATCCGATGTTCCCGTTTCCTACACTTGTGTGAACCAAATACCGATTCCCCCCAAAAGATATATATCAGCCACTAAATATATATCCTAAAAAAAAAAAAAAAAAACTTGGAGTATAATTTCTCTATATCTTTCTATAGTACTTTTTTGCTAAAATGCAAATATCTTGACAAACTAAACCGATCTTTATTCAATCAAATATATAGTTTTATGTCTGTTTTTTTTTCAGAAAGAAACTAGTTTGTAAATCACAAAGAAACATAAATTTTAATAATTTATGCACATAACAATTAGCTCTTTAAGAATTTTATGGAAATTTTGTGGCCTGCTTTTTGCTTTTTTTGCTTTTTTGGCGAATCTTCAAGGTTTTGGGTCACTTTTTTGGTGTAAAGTCCCTGATTTCAAGATCTCTTCTCTAAAATTAATGGATCTTTAGATCCAACCGATCGAACTGGAACGTAGAGAAATGCCATTTAGTTTTTTTTTGCAATTTTTTTAATTTTTCAGGTGTGCTTTTTTTTTGCTTTTTTTATGCTTTTTTTTTCTGCCCCTGTACTTAGTTGAGCGTAACATGCAGAGCGGCAAATCCTCAAACGCCGTTGCTTCCTCCTGGAGACGGGGTTACTCCCTGCTTTCTACCATACCTCCCTCCCTGGCCCGGAATCCCCCCCTTTTTGCTTTCTTGGTGATTAAGCACTGACTGCATTTGCTTTTGCTTTTGCTTTTGCTTTGCTTTTTCTTTGCGCAGCAAGTGCGCAGAGTTGGAAAGCCGGTTTCCATTATGCCAGGCATCACACTGGTCTCAGAATGGCAAAAATTTATCATTTCGCTACAAGGGTTTTATACATATTTTTACTCATTTTTTGTTTGCTTTTTAGGAAGTTATTAAAATAAAGAAAATTATTTAAGAGGTATTTTTTCAGAAAATTTTTGAAATTTCAAAAAACCATCTTTGAAGATTAAGTTAATGGTTTTTTTGTAAACACAAACTTATATTTTCAATTTATATGTTTTTAACTACTTAAACTTTAATGTTTTAACTTTCAACTACAAGAATATTAAAACAACTTTAAGAAAAAAGCATGTTTTATAAAAAAAAAGCATGCTTTTTCGAAAAAAAAAAACTTAAAACGTTACAACCTTTAGCCAAAAAGTCTTGAGAATATTGAATTATATTAAAAGTTACCTTAAAGATTTGTTAGTAATCACTCTTAATAGGTTCTCTATACTCTTTTATATAATATCTTCTAATATATCTTTAATATATCTTTAAAATAAAAGCATATATTCTTTAAATGCTTATTGCTAGATAATCTCTAGAGGTTTTTAAGAACACAGACCATAATACCATAAGCCATTGAGACAAAATTCAAACAGCTGAGACCTAATACACTTTTCTTAATTTTCAAACTTTCCAATTTCTTTATAAATATTCCCAGTTTTAGCTGAAATTTCTTCCAGTGGACTGTCATACCATCACCAACTCTGATGACTTTGAATCATTTTTTCTCTCCTGCTGTTGATATTTTTTTCCCCCCATTTTTTGTTTGGAGCTGTGGCTTGTTCTTCCTGCTTTTTTGGATTTCAGTTTTTTTTTTTGAGTTTTTTTTGCCGTTTCATAATCGTTGGGTGTGCGTGTTGTTTTCGGTGTATCGGCAGCGCCTTTGTCTCTGTCTCTTGGCTTCGCATTTTGCATGTCAAATAATTTCTCATTTAGACCAGGCTAAAAATAAAAAATAACAACGGCCAGCAGGCAGTAGCAGCAGCCGGAAAATACAAAAAAAAAAAACAAATCGAAAACGAAAGAAAGTCAATTTGGAAACGCAAAATGAAAATCATCATTCTTTTCCATGGAAAATGGGGTACATGTTTTTCTTTGCGTGTTCGTTGCTTCATTTTGTTCATCATTTTTTATGACAGTTTTTTTTATTTGGTGTTTTTTTTGTAAGAAGAGGTCAATGTTTTTTAAAACAGGATTTATTTTTACAAGAAAAAAGTAATTTTTTAGCGAAATCTTAGGTCTAGATGGGGGTAGGGCTCAGAATTAATTTAATGTAAGGCTGATTGGACTTCTAAATGCTAATTTCTTATTTCAAGAGTCTTTAAAAATATAAATAAATTATTGTTGATTATTATAAAAATTTTAAGGCTTTAAATTTTAAAGAATTAACCCTTCAAATGCCTAAGAAACTCCTAACTTCTATAGAACTATGTGTATACATAGAACCCTCATATCTTAAATATTTTAATCCTCATAAACTATATAGTTTCTTATAAATTATAGAAACTATTATATATAGTTCTACCAAAATTCTCTTAATTTTATCCATTTCTTTTAACATTTTTCCAAGTAATTATATTTATATAGTTATATATTTTATATCTCCACTGAACCGGATCCATTCCTAAAGCCAAGAGCTCTAAAATTTCAAGAGTTCAAGAGTTATGTTATGGCCGACTATGGCCGGCTGCTGGACTATTTATAACTTTCACATTTTTTTCCCCAGTGCATTTCGGTGTTGGCTCTACAAATTGGCGGCCATCAATCAAATGGCTGTCAGTCGCTCCCCTTTTTCGGATATTGTTGTTCAACTATTTTGTTAATTTTACTCAAAAGTGTCAAAGCCAAAAAAAAGAAAATAAAAAATAAAATAAAATAAAGCTGAAAAGCAGCAAACCATAAATAACAGTCAATGGCCAAGTGCAGTGGCAATGATCGCTTTGGTCAGCTGCACAATCTCTGCCTGCCACGCCCCCCCCCCCCCAACCCCCCTCTGGCTGATCGCCATCCCCACCATCCACTATTTAGTTTTTAATTATTTTCTAGCATTTCCATTTTTTGATTTCCATGCTTGGGTTACCTCGGCAATTTGTTACGCTTTGGCGAAATTGCGCCAAATAGTTGGCAAAAAAAAGATAGAGTCTTTTTTTCAGCTTATAGTTTGTTGTTTTTTTTAATATATTTTTAGGTTCTTTGAAACAAAAGAAATTATGAAAAATAAAACAAATTAAATTGAAAAATTAAATGAAATCTTGTGGCCCACATTTTGATTTGATGACAAAAAGAGAATGTTTGGCAATTAATTTAAGTTGCTTTTGTTTACAAAAAAAAAAAAAAATATAGTAAAATATAGTAAGAATAGAGAAAGAGAGAGAGAGAGAGGATGCTTAGCAGAAAGAGAGAGAGCGAGACTGGTGTGGAATGAGAACTTTGCCTTCTTTGTGGGCTAAAATATGGTTTCTCATAGCATATCATGGTATGTGTGTATTTTCCTCTACATTTTCGTATTTGTATGCTTAAATAATTTATAATTAAAAATAGCTGGTGGGCTGGTGGGGCTGTTTGGGGCTGGTGGGCGTTTTTGGGGGGCCTCACAAAGTCAGTTTTTCAATTCGAACACAAGATTTCCCTATGCCGCTGACCAAATTTGGTCAAATTGTTCTAAACAAATACATTTTTCAATCGAGACAGCACCCGAAAGAGAGACAGTATACGCTCTAAAGAAAGAGAACGAATTATTAAAGAAGAAAATTTTTAGCTTGCTTTTCATCATAAATTTCAGAAAAAAAAAATAAAAGAAAAAGAAAATTGCAGGCCAATGCGGCGTATACTTAATTGCACTTTATATTGTACTGGCCTGTACTGGTACGGTCTGTGGTCTATAAAGATGTATAATAATTTGGCTCTTGGCTGATTTATCTGATGGGCTTATGTCTGCCGGCACAAAGAGAAACAGACCATTTTTATTGCCAGATTTTTCTTTTTGGCAATTAAAACAATAATTTTTAGCTTAAAATTTAGCTTGATAACATTTCTTGATCAATGAACTCAAAAGATTGAATTTTTAATGGAATTTGTCTTGAAATTATGAATATTTATTCCTTTGTTTGTGATTCTTTTGTACCATTCTTTATACATATATAGTACATTATATATTTGCATTTTGTACAACATGTCGTATGCGCAATTTATAAAATTACGCATACGACAGGTATGCACAGAAGAGAAGGGAAGAGAAGAAATCACGGCTAAGGACAAATTAAGTTGACAAATTAATTTTATTTTCTTTCTTATCATGGCTGTTGATCGTTTTTTCTACTTTGGCAAGCATTTCTATGGGGGTCTATGGGGGTCTATGGGGGTCTCTTTTAGCCAAATGTGCTCATCGTGCTTTATTTAGCCTTGTTGGCTTTTTTCGGGTCCACTGTCTACAGCTGGCATTTGAGAAATTTTTCCGGTTGATAAACAAAAACTAGTGCTGATCATTGTCGTTTTTTTTAGGTGAAGACCACGCGGATAACCAATACCTACAACACTAGCACTAGTAGCAGTAGCAGCAAATCGGGAAACAGCACCACCAATAGCACCAATAACAAGGTCAGCAGCAGCAGCAGCTCCTCAGCACCAGTTACCCGAACAACTTGTGACATCGAGGAGATTTGGGACGAGCAGATCCTCAAGAAATTGGTAATCGATTGTCGATTAATTAAAGTTTTATCGATTAATTAACGATTTTAAATCGATAACTTATAGCTGGAACAGGCGTCCACCTACGAGGAGCGTCGCAAAATACGAGCACGTCTACGCGAACTTATGGCGGAACGCGAAGGTAAGTTTCTTTTAATTTATTTTTCTTATTTAAAAAATTAAATTTAAAAAATAAATCCCAACCCTTTAGTAGCAGATATATATAAATATTATATTTAGTTTGAACTTCAACAGCGGAGACTTCTCGATAAGACATGCCGTGTCTATATTGTGTTCTGTATCTGTATCTTGTAGATAAAGCGCACACAGCAACTAGCTAGAGAGAGGGACATACATACTAAATATTCAAATTATTCGGATTTATCGGTTACTCCTTGAAAATATATAATATATATAATTAGTGGCCAGGTATTTAGATTCTGTTTGTCCCCAGATACTCGTTATACCCCAGTCTTCACTCGTAGAACACACCCAGATCGTGCTCCACACACATAGTTGTTATCGTTATTATCGTTATCGGCCGTTATCGCATCACTGTCGATGACCCACAAAGAATTGGAATCGATTGTCATTGTCATCGATGCACCAAATCTTCTCTCCCCAAACTAGATACTTTCTTAAATGATATATGGATCTGATATATCTGATATATATGATATATCTGATCCGATCAGAGACCCCCTAACCCCCCTAGAGTTTTTGTTGTATTTGCTTGATTGCGTTCTCGTCCTTCTGTTGTCCTTTTGTATTTCTCCATTCTCTATCTTTATCAACTTTATCTTTTGAATCTTTTTGCTTGCCGCGGCGAGCAGAGAAAAAGAATCCAAAGCAGGAGGCGGAGGAGGAGGAGAGCAGTGCCAGCGAGTATGAGGAGATCATCGAGGAGGTAACCGACTACAGTGACGAAGAGGACGAGGAGCCCAAGAAAGAGGAACCCAAGAAGGAGGAGTCCAAGAAGGAGGAGCCCAAGAAGGAGCTCCCGACCAAGCAAGTGGAAAAGAAGCAAGTCAGCGAAAGTGTTACCAAGAAGCTGGCCAAAGTTGAGCTAGCCAGCAGCTCCTCCACTTCCACTGCCACGTCCACTTCCACTTCCACTTCCACCACAGACGGTGTTCAGTCGGTGCAGGGTGAGTCCCTGCCAGCAGGACCCAAGAAAACAGGAGCAACACCACCAACTGGTTCGGGATCAGGATCAGGATCAGTCAGCAGTAGCTTAAGTAGTAGGAAACCCAGTAGTCTTAGCAGTAGCCAGGTTAGCACAGTGGTTAGGGCCAGGGACAAAGCCAAGCTGGAGAAGATGCCAGTGACGTCAGGAGCACAAACAACCGGAGCAGGTGCACCCACTCGCTTGAGTGTGCCGTCCAAAGAGGATTCCGGCACGGAAAGTGGCGAGGATTTGCGGCTCCTGGCAGCCGGATTGCGTGACACCCTGCAGCAGCGTAGTGGTAGCGATGCCAGCGAAGCCAATCGCAGCCTGGTCGAGGAGGTGACCGATGCCCTCAGCCGCCTGGAGAGCAGCCTGAAGCAGGGCAAGGAGCTGGCCGTCGACGGTGGCCAGCGGCAGGCGTTGCTCGGCCTGGTGGCCCGCCTCCAGAGTGGACTCAGTGCGCCCGAGAAGCTGGCGGAGGATCAGAAGAGTGCCCAGAATCTTCCGCCCGAGGAGGGCGACGCCGGCAGCCCAGAACCGGAAACGGATAGCCGGCAATCGCGATTCGCGAAGCGAAGGCAGCGAAACAATCGACACACGGTCGGTGTCAGTCGGGAGGAGTTGGCGGACGCGAGGCGGTACATGGAGGACATGCTGATGCTGGAGGGCAAGGAGTTCGCCCTGGCCAAGACCCCCAGCTCGGGGGCGGTTCCAGTCCAGCTCTACCGGCCCAATCAGTTTGTGGCCAACAACCAACCGCCAGTGGCTACTCCAACCAGCCCCAGTCAGCCCACTCCTGCGGCCCTGAATCCCAGCCAGAGTCCCGCCCAGCTGAGACCCAGCACCGGCAACAGACGTCCTCTGTCCGGGGACTATGCCGTCAGCTTTGCCAACTACGAGGCGAACCAGAGCGGGCAGAATTCGAGCCCAGAGGGAGCGAATGGCGCCTCGCCCAGCAGCAACTCGCAGGGCAACTCCAATTCCAGCTCCAGTTCCAGTCGCTTCGGCGGCGGCAAGAAGCATCTGATGAAGCGGGCCAACACCATCGATATACCCAAGGCCAAGGCCAAGTACATGGCCGAGTGTGACTCGGACTCGGACCTGGAGGACGATCATGGCCCGCACCTGGGTCTGAAGCGAGCGGTGCAGGTGAGCGTGAAGCGGAAGGTGCACAATGCAGTGCCGCCGTTCGAGCCGAAGACCGAGAACGACCACAAGTTCCTGGCCTTCATCAACAAGCAGAGCCATCAGTCGGGGCTGGGGTGGGGCGGTGGCGGCGGACGCAGCGTCTCCAACTGGACGCACAAGTTCGGCAACATCAAGCACACCTTCGAAACGGGTGCCGCCGCCACAGTGACGAAGGGTAAGCCGCCCCCGGTGCCGGGACACGTGCCCGGCTGGGCCAAACAGGAGCAGCTGCATCACCAGCAGCTCCAGCGGGAGCAGATGCAGCGGGAACAGCTCCAGCGGGAGCAGTATCAGCGGGAGCAAAGGCAGCGGGAGCAGAGGGAGCTGCAGGCACGGGACCTGAAGCAGCGGGAGCAGCTGAAACGGGAACAGCAGCAACGAGAGCAATTCCAGCGGGAGCAGAGCCAGCGGGAGCAGTTCCAGCGGGAGCAGAACCAGCGGGAACTGTCCAAACGAGAGCAGTTCCAGCGAGAACAGCTGCAGCGAGAGCAGCTCCAAAGGGAGCAGTTGCAAAGGGAGAAGCTCCAAAGAGAACAGCTCCAGAGGGAGCAACTGCAGCGGGAGCAACTCCAGCGAGAACAGCTCCAGAGGGAGCAGCTCCAGCGGGAGCAGCTGCAACTCCAGCAGCAGCAACAAACCGCGGCAGCTGTGCAGATCGAGCGTCAGCGGCGGCAGGAGCTGGAGCGCCAGCTGCGACTCGAGAAGGAGGCCCGCTACGAGCGGGAGGAGCGCAGTCGCCTGGAGCGGGAATACTACGAGCAGCAGCTGCAGCGCCAGCAGGCGGAGAGGCAGCTGCAGCTGGAGAAGCAGCGCCAGCAGCAGGAGCAGCTGGAGCGCCAGAGGCGGCAGGAGATGGAGCTTCGCCTCCAGCAGCAGCGCGAACAAGCCGCCCAGGTCAACAACTTCATCCACGCCCCCCAGTCCGTCTTCCGGCCCATCGAGCACGAGGCGCAGCCCCAGCCGGGCATCTACAAGCCGATAGCCCAGAAATCGCAGCCGAATGCAGCTCCGGTCTGGAAGCCACCCCCCCAGCAGCAGCAGCAGCAGCCGCCCCAGTCGCAGCAACACCTGCAGGCCAGATCAGCGCCCACCTACAGCAATACTCCGTCCCCGTCCTCGACAGCCACCTCGCCCATTGGCCTGCCCTGGGTGGCGAAGCCGAAGGTGGACAACAGCGACTTCCGGCGCAAGGCCCACCACTTTGAGGAGCGATCTCTGAGGGACAATCTGGAGCAGCATCCGCAGCAGGCCTATTCCAACGGAAGCCAGGCCTACCTGCAGCGGCACAACTCCCTGAGATCCAAGGCGGCGCCCCCAGCTCTCAGTGAGTTCAAGAAGAGGCCATCCCTGCCGAATGCCATGGAGCCGGGATCTGGGGCGCCTCCACCAGTGAGGCAGCAGCTCTACCAAGCCCCGCCACCTCCCACGAACATCTCGTTCACATACGCGGACTTCCCGCCGGTGCGGAGGCAGCAGGGCGGCAGTGCCCATGCCTACCGGAGCCAGCCCTGCCTGACGAGTGCCGTGGAGCAGGCGGAGCCCCTAACGAACCCGCTGGGAGCACCTCTAGTACTCACCAGCTCGAATCCCACGTACCTACCGCCCCCGGGACAGCGGCGATTCGATTACATCAGCAGTCCCGTGGACGTGGACGGGGAGAGCCCGCCGAACAGCCCCACCAGCTTCCTCACCATGCCCAATCCCAGCCTGATGACGGACAACACCGACGATGATCTCGACCTGGATTCGGACAACAATATGCTGGAGTACCGGGCGGAGACGAAGGTGATGCGGAAGCCCAGAAGCCAGACGGCTGTGAGGGTGGCGGATCGCAGGAACGCCCACATGAGCGACGACGAGGTCTACGGTCGCAATTCCAGGGCAGCCAAGTCGCTGCTCCACACGATGAAGCATCTGGGCGGAAGTCCCGGAGCCCCAGCCTCTGGCAGAGCTCCAGCTCCCGGCCAACAGAAGCGTCAGCCCCTGACGGCTCCGAGCTCCCCGAAAGGCGGATGCCTCTCACCCGACGGCCGGCAATATCAGGCTCCGTTGGTGGAGCCCCTCTTCCCGCAGCTGAACTTTGAGCCCAAACGGCAGCCACAGTACTCCGCCACGCCGCCAACTTCCGGGGTATCCACTCCCCAGATGAATTACCAGGCGAATCCCACCTACACACCGCCCAGAACGCAACAGGACTCGAACTCGTATTTGGGGGAAACCCATACCTCGTACGTGGTGACCTATCCGATGGATGACTCCGGGGATGAGCCCGAGCCGGAGTCCCTGGCCATGTCGCAGCGCATCCGTCGGACGTCGGAGCACTCGAATGCCAGCTCTTCGTTGTCCTTGGGCAGCACCAGCTGGACGCCGAATCCTGTGCACAATGTAGGTCCTCCCGTGGATCGGAGCACTAAGCCACAAACGCAGGTGACCCCGAAGGTGGCTGCCCAGCAGTTGCCCAAGCAGATGCCTCAACAAGTGCCTCATCAGGTGCCTCAAAAGGTGCCTCAACAGGTGCCCCATCAGGTGCCTCATCAGGTGCCTCCACAGGTGCCTCAGCAGGTGCCTCAACAGGTGCCTCAGTTGCCTCAGCAAGTACCTCGGGAGGTGCCTCCACAAGTCCCACAACAGAAGCCTCAGCCCGTGCCCCAAAAGCTCCCCCAACAACTGCCTCAGCAAATACCTCTGCCGATCCCCAACAATACCGCCATCCAGCCCACACCCAGTAGCAGGCCACGTCTCAGTACCCGCAGCCACACCATCCAGGGTGACGGCGGCTACGAGAACCGACCTCTCCAGAACCGTGTCATGTCCCAGCAAACCCTCCTCCAGTCGACCAGCATCTCCCAGAAGCAGCAGACGGAGCAGCACATCAGCGAGCTGCGTCGCAAGAGTCTCGGCAATGTCCTGGAGAGCAGCCAGCGGAGCACCTACATCGAGCAGCAGCAGCAGGAGTACAAGTCCTCGGCCCCGCCAGACACGCCGGACATCGTCAAGTCCTCGCTGCCCAAAGAGAACGCTCCGCTGCTGAAGAAATTCGGGCCACCACAAAGACATCACTACGTCCCGAATGCCTACCAGAGTCCTCAGATCAACAAGCAGGGCAGCACCACGACCTCCAGTACGACTGTTTCCAGCAGCACCACGATGGTGCAGCAGCACCACCAGCAGATCAAGCCAAGTATTGTGGAGACCCCGGCCACGCCACAGCCTCAGGTGCCGCCCGAGGATGAGATCCCCCACAACATCGTCTTCAACAACGTGAGCGCCTTCACGTCCCTGAGCCGGCGCCACCAGGAGGAGGACTCCCACCAGCAGCAGTCGGCCGGTTCGCGGGTGAATCGGCTGAGCAAGTGCGACTCCTGGAATCAGATCTGCCAGCTGCAACAGCAGACCCAGCCCACCCAGCAGTCGTACAACCAGCCCGGATCTCAAGGTGGCGGTGAGCTGAGAAGGACCAAGTCGGGTCACTCGCTGGCCGTGCCGAAGCTCTACGAGGCCGGCATCGACAAGGCCCAGATCAGCGAGAAGCAGCGCACAGTGGCGGCCTACTTCTCCGGCCAGAAGTCCCCGAACAGCCAGATGGAGGAACTGCGTCAGATGACCACCACCACATCCCGGAAATCGGCCATAAATCGCACCAAGACAAGCGAGAAGCTCTCGGCGGCCGCCAGGAAGTCACTCAGTTCCCTGACCAGTTCCAATGGCAACATGTCCTCGGTGGGCGTCTCCCGGGTTGGAGGGGCGCCCATGATCGGCGGAGGACTGAGCCGGAGCGCCACCATGCCGCATATAGCGAATCTGAATCTGCTGGACGAGAGCAATGTGGAGGACGCCTTCGAGCAGCTGATGATGGGTGCTTAAAACTATGAAATATATCACAAAAAAAATAAAATATATATTTCATAAAAAATATAAAATTATTAAAACAAAAAAAATAAAAACTAACAAAAGTCCAACCAACCACTCAAGCCAAACAAAAAAACAATCAAATATTGAGGCATTCCAGTTTGAAACTGGACAAGATCAAAAGAGAGAAAGAAAAAATACTAGAAATACTAGAAATAGTAAAAATACTAGAACTAGATCTACCAAAGAGCTATCGAAATCCTATCGAAATCGAATCTATTATCGAGACACTTTAGTAACTTTTATGGCAACTGTACTGATTAATGTTTACTGAACTAATGGAATATAAAGGTTTAGACTTAGTTTTTAAAGACTTTTCTGTTTTTAGTCCAACCACCCCTCCCCCCAACCCCCCTCTATGTAAAAAAAAGAAATCAGTTGCAATAGATACAAAAAAGAAGTTAAATTAAAATTAAAATTAGAAGAAAAAAAGGCAGGGACTTTTAGGCGGTTTCTTTTCTTTTTTTTTTTTTTTTTGGTTTTGTTAGAAAAACACACACACTGACACAGCTACACTTTGAGAAAATATATATATCATAATGTTTGCTGCACTGCGATCCAACAACAACAACAACTACAACAACAACAGCAATAAGAAAGCAACAACAGCAACAGCAATTTTATCAAAAAAAATCCAAGATTTGTGAGTTAAAAAAAAAAAAAAACAAATATCAGAATGTACAGAATGCCGTTCCCTTATATCCACTTGCTGACTCCCCCCCTTTTCGTTTCTTTTTTTGCCAGCGCCCCTGCCCTGCCTTGTACTACCATTCAATAAATTTATATATTTTTATTAAAAAATATATATTTTTTACATAAATAAAATGCTATATTGCCCAGCAGCAGAAGCCTAACACCTTGAAAAAGCACAAATCACACGCAGAAGCACAAGAATTACACATTTTTTTGGTAAAATAAAGTATTTAAGGGGGGTTTCTTTAATTAATAAACTTAAAATCTTAAAAATAGCCTTTTGAAAAATCTCCTAAAGTCATTTGTAATCTCTAAAGTACATTTTGTAAAGCCATTACATAAAAAAGATTTCCAAACTATCTAAAAACTCCCTCTTCTAAAAGTATCTTTTTAAAAACTCCCTTTTTAAAAACTCCCTTTTTGAAAACTCCCCTTAAACTACTCTTATTTTATCACCAAAAAAAACATGTAATTATGTTAATGCTACTGTCTTTTGTGTATTTTCCCTTGTACATATATATATCTGTATTGCCTGAAAGTTATTCTTCGGAAAAATTGTGAAAATGCGTCGAGTTCTTAGCGCTTTATTCCCAAAACACGACAAAAATGTTGATGCCCTCCCCCCTTACGTTGCGTTACGTTACGTTCTGTTACGTTTTGTTACGTTTTTGCTCGTTCGTTTGTTCGTTCGTTGGTTGATTGGTTGATTGATTGATTGACTGGTTGATTGGTTGGTTGGTCCAGCAAGGATTTCAATTAAAAAAACACACAAAAAATAATCTAATCATTTTAAAAAAAAAACGAAAGCAGCAAAAGGAACCCCTAATTTATGTCCCTATCTTCTTTTTTATTAATTTTACATTTTTTTGTAACCGACTTGTTATTTTTTTTGTGCCTCTTTTTTGTAAATATTATTATTATTATATATTTTTTAACCGAACCACACCCGCCACACCGCCCACAGTTGAGATGAGAAAACAGTATTCTTTTCCGATATTTTTCCAAGATTTATTGAAATATAAACATATATATATTTTTTAAAATATATGTATGATATTTTCGTGCAAAACAGTTCAGTTTTTTTGCTGCTGATCTGATCCTGTTTCCCATGTCCTTTGATTTAAAGCATGATTTTTTTTAGTTTTAATTGTACATAAATATTTTTGTGCATGATTTGTTAATAAGAAATATTATTTTAAACCTTAATTTCTTACATATCTATTAGGAGTTTTATGAAAAATTTTTAAGGTTATTTTCAAAATTTAATTTAACAACTTATGACACAAAAATAAACAACCCGAAGCAGTCACAGTCACAGTCACACCAATAGCTACGATTTTGTTTATGGTTTTCTGTGTAATACATTTTTTTTAGAGTGTATCCTTTAGACAAGGGACAAACTATACACACTGGAAAAAAACAGCTTGAAGTACTTTTTTGAAATATTTGTAGTTGATTTTGATTATTGTAGTGTTGCGTAGTGTGTTTAAAAAAATATATTTGTTGCCTGCTCAGATACAAAACACATGTAATTTCAATAACCAAAAAAAAAATTAAGAAAACAATTTGTTTTAGTTTCGTAGTCGAAATGTTGATAATATTACTGTTTTTGTTGCATGGCCCCAAAAAAACTAATCACGATTATTTGTTTGCTTTTTTCTTTTTTTTCTTCCAACCTGCTGCTGCTGTAAAAAATATATAAACCAAAAATCGCATCCTTAAAAAACCAAAAACAAAAATCCACACATTTATTCACACAGCAGCCCAACACAAGAGCTCCTCCTCGACCAGCGAACAGCGAACGGAGACAAAGTCCTCCAAGGATGGCGGTGCCACAGTGACTACAACAACAACCAAGGGTAGGCCATCTTATAAGGATAATCTCTAATATATATATTTACGATTTCTGATTTTTTATTTAATTTTTTTAGTTACAACACGCACTGTTAGTGGCAGTGCCGCCTCCAAAAATATTTCGCCCTTGGCCAAATTCAAGCAATTGGATAAACAGGCCGCTGCCCAACAGGCACAAAAGTGAGTCTATTTTCTATTATTTAAACTTTCTATATATTTGGGATTTTTTATAAAAAAACTTGTACATAAATACATACATTATTGTGTATATCAGCGAGCATAAGTCAAAACATTGTCTTGGAAATACATTACATTTGAAAAACACTTACATATATTCGGGAGAGAGGTCAAACACAACAAACTATACTATAATACCACATTTGTGCAGGTTATTACACTTAAAAAAAAAGAAAGCAAAAATTAAAGATGGAAAATATTTAAAACATTAAAAATTTAAATCAAAAAACTATAGCCTACTTTTCAGGGCAAACTTCAATCTCTTCAATTTTTGCTATTTCGCCCTCCACCAACCCCCTCGTCTGCACACATACAAACAAATAAAATTGGTTAACGGTGCATCATGGCACTTACATTTAAATAAAAACATAAAACATAAATTTTAAACATAAAACTTAAACACAAAAAATAAGGAAAATACTCAAAGCACAGTGTCCACTTCCTACATAATACCCCGGTGTTGGTTCTCTCTTTTTTTTCGAAATCTGACCCACAAAACCAAACCAAATATATATTTATTTCTCTCTCTGTATTTTTTTTTCTTTTAAAAACCCAAAAATTTCCAAAAATATCGCGTTTCTTATATTTTTTTTTTGTTAAATAATTGTTGTTGTTGTTTCTTGCTAACACAAAATGAAAAAAAATCAAATTATATATATATTATATAGTCCACATACACATACAAAACATACACTTAACACAAAAATCTAAACTAAAAAAAAACAAAGAAAAAAAACACACAAATATCGAACACCTGTAGGAAATAAGAAAATATGAAATGAATGAAATTTTTTGTCAAAAAAAAAGATGATGAAGAAGGAGAAATGCTTTTTGTGTGAGTTTCGCTAAAACGTCTGCAATCCTCCAACCTTGAATCATTTTGTTCAGATCATCTCCAACAACAACAAGCACACCCACCACCCCCGGCGGTTCGGCACAACCGTTATTCAAATTTACCGATCCGGCATTAAATGCGCGCGCCGCCACTGTCAAGGATCAACTTCTGCAGTGGTGTCAGCATAAAACGCAGGAATATGAGGTATCCAAAACCTAAAAAACCAAAAATCCAAAAATTCCAATTTTATTCAAAAAATGTTAAAGCCTTAAATAGCCTAAAAGTTGAAATGCCAATTAGCAAGAGCAATTAATTTTAAATAGTTTTTTTTATAAACAGCAACTGCAACTGCCCAAAAAAATAAGTCCTTGTTTCTTACCACTTTTCTTATTTTTTTTATAAGCAATTAAGGTCAAAAAAAGGATATAAAGTCCTTAAAAAAAACTATCGATTTGATGTCTTTGTAATCCTTTCAAGTTATCGATAGACTCCTCCCCTTCTTTTGACCTTAAATGCAAAGTTAGTTTATTTATTGCGTTTCTTTAGTCTTGTCGTATGTTCTCATGTTTTTTTTTTTCTAAATATATATTTTTAACAAAGCATTTTTGAATAACAAACAACCAACTCTAATACCAAAACCAGCAACCAAACAACAAACAAAATAAAACCAAATAAACAAAAACTTCCAACAGCGCCTAACTTTGGCTAAGCTTGACAGCTTTTTCGTAAAAAAATCGTTAAAAAACAAAGCCATAAAAAATACTTCTCAGTACACACACACACATATACATTCACACTCGCACACAAACACAAAGCACGTTTATAAAATTTGAATAAAATCTTAAAAAAAAAATACTGAAATCCATTCCGTTTCCGCTACAGTTTACTGCTTTAACGATAACTTATCGATTACTGATCACCGCTTATCGCATTTTGGCATTTCGCGCTAGAGTTATCGCCGCTGTTGTTGTTATTGTTCTAGTAATCGTAATAATCGACTGTCGCTTTAGTTGTATTCACTTACTTGCTAGTTAATTAGCTTAGCTACCTAGTAGTACTCGGAGCCTGGAAAACTAAAAAAAAACCAAAATACCAACGCTTTTGCTTCAGGAAATATTTAAAATTAAAATAAATAAAAAAAATTAAAAAGGCCATCAAAACGAACTCAACAACAATTCAGCCAATAAAAGCCATTTTTTGATTCGTTTATTTCGTTTTTTTTTTGTCGCTTTTTTTTTTTGAAATTGAAACATTTTTTTTAAATACCCTTCTTGTGTGTGTGTGTGTTGTTTCGCAGAACGTCCAAATAACCAACTTTAGCTCGAGCTGGTCAGACGGCTTGGCCTTTTGTGCGCTGATCCACCATTTCTTGCCAGATGCATTTGATTTCTCCAAACTAACCAAGCAGACGCGCCGCCACAACTTCGAGCTGGCCTTCAGCGTTGCCGAGTAAGTATACGCACCGTGGGCCCAAATAGACATAATATGGAAAATGACTAAATATTTGTCTATATAATGTGAATTTTATTCTCATTGTTCTATAAACTTAAATAATAATATATATTAAACTCTTTCAGTGAGAAGGCTGGCATTGCACCCTTGCTGGATGTGGAGGATATGGTGGAGATGAGTCGTCCGGACTGGAAGTGCGTGTTCGTCTACGTTCAGAGCATATATCGCCGGTTCCGGAACTGTCAATAGAACCCACATCCAATCCAAAAAAATAAAAACAAAAACAGCAGTCAGTCCAAATCTAATTAACAAAGTCAGCAGCAGCAGCTCAAAGGCAACAAGCAGCAACTCATTAAATTTTAAGCAGAATCCCTTTGGCATTTCTTTTCCTCAAAAATATCCTGCAAACATCTAACTGTATATCGGCATATGTATGATATATATATTCATTATCTATATATGTTATATATATATTTATTTCTTTAATTGAAGCGCAAATGGCAGCGCAGGCTCGTCGAACTTGAAACAGCCGACTCTTTGTACGTTTTTTGTGTTTGTTTTACTTTTTTACTATTATTACGATTACGCATTATTATTTGTTATCGAACTTGAAGCAGAAAAACTATGCAATAATTGTTGATTTATATATATAAACATTATTTTTTTTATATTAATTTTAATTGTGAAACCACCAATCGAGGTGAGTGCAAATAAAAACAAAAAAATAAATAAGAAAGCAGTGCAGTTACTAACCCTGCTGGCGCATCGGCTATCGATCGATAATAAATGGATCATTATTACCACAATAAACATATATATGAATATATATAGAAATAACGGTGCCGTCGCTCACATTGATGATGAATTACTGTAATAATAAACATATATATATTTTATGTACGTATGTGTAACGAGAACGAAACATTTACTAACCGATGCCAATCGAAAAGGCCGCAAACAAAAATCATAAAACAGCAAATGAAACTCAACCTGATGTTTTATTTATTATACGGGGTATGGGTACTATATTGGAAGAGGTAAGTAATACATGGATGTACTTTAAACGATATCTAGTACGATTCCCCATCAATCTACATCAAAATCCTGCAAGAAAATAATTTTTAGAAAAAAATCCACGATTTCCATACATAGCCCAGACTCATAGCTATATCTCTGCCAATTCTCATCCGATCCCCAAGCGGGGTACCTTAAACGATTTGTGGATCGATTCTCCATCGATCTGCATCAAAACCCTGCAACAAAATATTTTTCAGATTTTTTTCCATTTTTTCTAGGGGTACCCCTGCAAAATCCACGATTTCCATACATAGCCCAGACTCATAGCTATATCTCTGCCAATTCTCATCCGATGTACCCCCAGGTGGGCCTGTCAGCATCGGTGTCACATTAAATGCCATTTATTTAAGCAATTTTTTGGCTCACTTCCTGACTTCCAGCCTGATGACATCCAACGAGGCACTTCGGCTCATTAGGCGGCGCCACCATCCCATCCCTGCCACAAATGGGGGGTGGTTCCCCAGCTTGGGCCAGGGACCCCTCGAAAAAAAATGAAACGGAGAAACGGCAGAGACAGGATACTTGTAAGGACAATAAGGAGTCGCACAAGGGATGAGGCAAGGGGCCAAAGGACCAAAAAGGACCTGAACTCCGTCAGGACAAGAGTTCATTGGTCATTAATTAATTGGGGTCATTAATCGAATTGGATTTTGAGGCGGGGGATCGAAACAAATCAACGGAAAGGACACACATGAAGGGGGGGTTGTTCCTTGGAAAAATTAAGGATAAATTATTCTTAAAAGGACCATAGATAAGTCCATAAAAGGACTTTATAAAATAAAAAAGAAATAAAAGATTTAATAGCTTTGATAATATCTTCTAATGTTTTCTAGGCTTATCCTGGATAGTCCTTTATCCTTTTGAAGGATATTTCATATAAAAACTGAAAGTGAAATTGTCGATTTAAAAAAAAAAAATTTTGGCACCAACTTTATAATTCGCAAGTAGTTCTGACGTGGCCTCCCACCAGTATAAATAGAGGGCCGCCGCGAGGCAAAAATTTTTTTCGCCCAACTTTCAAAGTTTTTTTTTTAGCTTTTTTTTTGAAAGCTTTTAACTTTTTAGCTTTAAAGCCATAAACTATCTATAAAAAGCTTTAAAAAATTCCATAAAATAATAAATAAAAAAAAATAAATTTTATTTTTATTTATTATTTTATTTTATTTAATAAAATATTAGTACCTCAAACGATTTGTGGATCGATTCTCTACCAATCTGCATCAAAATCCTGCAACAAAATATTTTTCAGATTTTTTTCCATTTTTTCTAGGGGTACCCCTGCAAAATCCACGATTTCCATACGTGGCCCACTCCCATACCTATATATCTGCCAATTCTCATCCGAATCTCAAGCGGGGTACCTTAAACGATTTGTGGATCGATTCTCCATCAATCTGCATCAAAACCCTGCAGCAAAATATTTTTCAGATTTTTTTTCCATTTTTTCCCCTGCAAAATCCACGATTTCCATACGTGGCCCACTCTCATAGCTATATCTCTGCCAATTCTCATCCGATCCTCAAGCGGGTTACCTTAAACGATTTGTGGATCGATTCTCTACCAATCTGCATCAAAACCCTGCAACAAAATATTTTTCAGATTTTTTTCCATTTTTTCTAGGGGTACCCCTGCAAAATCCACGATTTCTGTACGTGGCCCACTCCCATAGCTATATCTCTGCCAATTCTTATCCGATTCTCAAGCGGGGTACCTTAAACGATTTGTGGATCGATTCTCCGTCGATCTGCATCAAAACCCTGCAGCAAAATATTTTTCAGATTTTTTTCCATTTTTTCTAGGGGTACCCCTGCAAAATCCACGATTTCCATACGTGCCCCACTCTCATAGCTATATCTCTGCAAATTCTCATCCGATTCTCAAGCGGGGTACCTCAAACGATTTGTAGATCGATTCTCCATCGATCTGCATCAAAACCCTGCAACAAAATATTTTTCAGATTTTTTTCCATTTTTTCTAGGGGTGCCCCTGCAAAATCCACGATTTCCATACATAGCCCAGACTCATAGCTATATCTCTGCCAATTCTCATCCGATTCTCAAGCGGGGTACCTTAAACGATTTGTGGATCGATTCTCCGTCGATCTGCATCAAAACCCTGCAACAAAATATTTTTCAGATTTTTTTCCATTTTTTCTAGGGGTACCCCTGCAAAATCCACGATTTCCGTACGTGGCCCACTCCCATTGCTATATCTCTGCCAATTTTCATCCGATTCTCAAGCGGGATACCTCAAACGATTTGTGGATCGATTCTCCATCGATCTGCATCAAAACCCTGCAGCAAAATATTTTTCAGATTTTTTTTCCATTTTTTCTAGGGGTACCCCTGCAAAATCCACGATTTCCGTACGTGGCCCACTCCCATTGCTATATCTCTGCCAATTTTCATCCGATTCTCAAGCGGGATACCTCAAACGATTTGTGGATCGATTCTCCATCGATCTGCATCAAAACCCTGCAGCAAAATATTTTTCACAATTTTTTCTAGGGTTTCCATATGTAGCCCATATCCATAGCTATATCTCTGACAATTCTGAAGCCAAGTGGGCCTTTAAATTTTGATCTGTGAAAAAAAACGAAGCAGCTGGGGCTGGCACTTGGCTCAGAAACTCGGTGAAAGTCTAGCGTTTAAGTTTTGTGTAAGATGTCGCAACAAAATTCAGTGTAGAATCTCGTAATTCAAAATTTAGTTCGTGACGCACGCACACACACGCAGACAGGCCACAAGAAGCACACAGACGACAGGGAAGTAGACGGCAACCAGGTTGCAGATTGCAAGCAGTACCGCCCCCAGCCCCCCATAGTACCGCCACGTTCCACCCTTTCCAAGGCAGTCGATAGCAGGAGGAGCATCCGAACCGGATCATCATGTCGCAGCATCAGCATCCCATTCTCTCCGAGGAAACCGCTCTCAGATTGTTGAACGGTGTAGTGGCCACCGGCAATTCCACGCCCCTCAGCGCCGTACCGACATCGCCGCCTACGCCACCGCCCACTCTGGTTGAAGGACAACAACTGCCCGAGGCCAGTTGCTCCACGGCATTGGTCGGCGGTGGACAGGAGAGTGTCCACTCGCATGCTTTTAGAACTGAATGGAATGGAATTGATGAAGTGGCCACCGACAATGCCACACCCCTTAGCGCTGTACAGACACCGCCATCCACGCCACCACCCAATGATTTGGAGGCCAGTTGCTCCACGGAATTGGGCGAAGGTGGACAGGAGAGTGTCCACTCGGCGAACGAGTATGGCCACTCGTGCCGCATCTGCCGCTGGAACCGCAGCGACATGGAGATCATTAGCTGTCCTTGCAACTGCAGGGGTAGCGTGGTAAGTTATAGACCAAAGATCAAAAGACCACAAGCCTAAAGTTTAAAGATTTTTTTAGGGCTTCATCCACCTGAAGTGCCTAAAGCGGTGGATCATGCACCGGCGGGACAATCGCTGCGAAGTCTGCAATGCTGTGTACGACATCTCCGAGGAGCGGGTGAGCCTGAAGCAAATGCTGCGGACTTTCTGTTGCGGCCGCTGCTGTGGCCTGATCGTGAAGCACCTGCTGTTCAGCGCCTCGTTAATGCCCCTGGCCCACATCATTCTGCAGCAGGTGAGCCAACTGTCCCAACCACTTGGGTCATTCAACTTGATTGTACTGCATCATGTGGTCAGAGCTTACCTGAGATTCATCCACTGTCCACAGGTGCTGCAGTGTATGGATAATCTGAACCAGGGCAGCACCGAGCAACTAACCGTACAGGAGGTATTCGTCGCCTCCTGTGCCCTGCTCACATCCAGTGCCCTATTCTTCCACTTTTTCGAGTTCGTGACGACGCGCTGCCTCCTCATCCGGAACATATTGCGCCACTGGTGGATGTTTGGCAGCACCTCCGACTTTTCCCTGGTCGAGTTCGAGGACGATTCCATCGATCTGTTCTGATCGCCGCCAGGAGAGAGTGTATCCACTATCCATAATATCCGCAGGGCCAAGCTATCAGGGATGCAGTGCCGCAGAGCCAAGTGACTAATCAAGCGGACTCAGGAGTTTCAAATTTCGAGTATTCAATAAAAATGCAAATCTTTAAAAGCAATAGAAAAAGTTTAAAAATAGTTTTTATTAAAATTCAAACATTTTTTAAAAATAAATTTGAATTTTAGCGCCACCACTCAGCGTCTTGCAGCACTGCTTTTTTAATACTAAACTATCGATAACATTTTAAAAGTAAAAGCCAAGGAAACCTCTATCAGTTAAACCTATTTTAATAAAAAATAAAACTCATTAAAATGTATAAAATTGCAATTCTCCAGGCCTATATTTAGTGCACTATCAATATCTTTATAATTTAATAATTTCTTTAATAAAAAGCTTGACAGAGTGGCCAGATAATTTAATGAAAATACCAAATGGCAATGTTCCAAGGAAAAATACCAAAACAAGCCAAATTCCAAAAGGTATCACACTCCCACATCTACACATTCAGACCGTAAAATCGACACACGAAGCGAAAAGGGAAATTAGAAAAATAATAAAAGTGACTGAGCCAGCAGCGATCAGCAGCAGCACTCCAGTCACAATCTGAAGCTGGGATACACGCCACCTCCCGTTAAATAGATGCATCCACAACTGTGTAAGTGCCGTGTTCTGTTCGTTACCAACAAAAGGCTTTAAAAGCCAAACAAAAGTTATAAAAGGCAAGGCAGCCAGACCAGAGCTGGGCAGAGGAGCACAGCACAGCGCAACGCCAAGAGACGAGCCAGCAGGCAACAAAGAAAGGAAAACCGAAGAACGGCTCGAAAGAAAGTGAAGTGAAGCCAGTGGATGGGAGGTGGGGCGGGGCGGAAGATACCAGACCAGAAAACCAGATCGACCGACTTTTTTTTCCCCCGCGGGCGCCTATGTTTTGGTTTTCCTTTTTTTTTTTCTCCCTCTCACTCTCTTGCGCGTTGTATCTTATTTGCTTTTCGCTTTTCGTTGCGGCACGTGTGCGAATTACTGTTTCTTTTGATTGCAAAACAACAAAAAAAAAACAACCACAAAAAAATACTAACAAAACAAGACATGAATTGCACACTTTCTTGCAGAAACACCGTGCCCCCAATCAGCCCCCTTTCTCATCCCCTTGGTCTGTCAGCAAGCACGAGAGGAAGGAAGGGAGAGTATCCCCCCCCCTGAGTAGCTACAGAGGATCGCCAGGAGCACAGACCCAGCGAAGGAGTGGAGAAGAACGGTGGCCCAAGGCCCAAACCCCAGCCAGTTATCTATCCAGCCATGAATTCGTCAGCGCCGGGCAACAGTAATTCCCCAAAGTTCCTCTATGACCTGGCCTTGGATTCACTTGTCCGTGGCCTGGGCACCACAGTCCCCTCGCTGGAGAGGATCCATCGTCTACCCGAGCTGCCTCGCAATATACTCATCGATGTCTATGAGATGGTAAGTATCTTAGTCGGTCTTGGAGAGCACAAGCATCATCATTCCCAGAGTTCTCATAAGCCTCATTTAATCGGAATCCATAACCAGATTCCCAGATTGAGATCGTTATCATTATGGCTTCTCCTTATCGCTTAACTATCCGCCGGGATGGTACTGTTGTCCGGATTTCGCCACTGGCAATTACCATTATCGGGATGAGGAGAAGGAGGAGGAGCTGGGGTGGGTGTGACGATGCCACTTGTCGGTTTGTTTGCTTTTCCGCTTAAATTGTTTACACCCTGGCAGTGGCAGTGCCAGTTCCAGCTGAGATTACCCCCAGAACGATGATACTTCAATGCTTAGTCAGTCCCAATCGTAATTATTAAATAATAACCATCGGGAGAATGTTCTATTCTTCGCCTTCCACTTCGGAGAAACGTCTCCAAAGAGACCACACTCTTGGTTCATGTTACCAGCAAGCTGGCTAAGATTTTCTGTGAATTTCTGGCCAGTGCCATCTTGGGATGGATTACATTTTGGCGAGGAAGACTCTGGCGATAACCGCATACCCACAGGTGGTTGGTAGTCTCGATTCCATTCCCCATACATGGGCCAGTGTCGATTGTCATAATAAGCGGGCAATTACAGCGTAAATTATAAACAGAAGCGACAATATGGTTTCGGTTCGGTTCGGTTCTGGGGAAGGAGGCGGAGGCACTGCTGTTGTCTAAAAATAGCCAACCAGTCCGAGAGCAGAGCAGGGCCAGGGGAGGGACAACGATGATGATGGCTACTCCTGTCCTGATTCCACCCGCCCTCCTTCTCACAGCCTCCTTCCATGCTATAGACCTTGCTGTGGCGCAGCTGCGCTGGAGAGGAGCCATTGAACTTGCTGATAATGGCTAAGCAAATTCCATTGTCCGCTGATTGGATCTTCTCCGCACAACGGAGGCTCTTGTTTACTTCATACTGGCCCTTTCTCTATTGGAGATCCTAATTCACTTTCTGGTTGCAGATGTCGAAGCGTGACTTCTTGAAGGACACCTTGCTGGAGGAGCTGTGCCGCCTGGAGGTGTTCACCCGTTTGGTTCGCTACTCGCCCGCCCGCAGCAAGCTGCTGCGCATCGTGGCCTCGCTGATGGCCAGCAAAAAGATGCTAGCCAGCCGGCTGAGCGAGGCCTACATCGCCCGGTACGGCCAGGACTGGGAGCTGAACGGGGATCTGGAGGAGGAGCGCAAGGCTGAGGAGATGATGCAACTGCCATCGGCCGCCAGACAGGATGATAGGGCCAGGGAGCTGCTACGTGACTATGTGGCCGATGACGAGTCGCCCGGCACCAGCTCCAGCTCCAGCACGTGTCGCCGCCAAGATAGTGACCCGAACAAAGTACCATTGCAGCCCGAACCCAATGTGATGCCTCTGACCAACTTGCAAGACTTGCCGGCCGAGGAGCTGCAGGCCATTGACACGGGCTTGCGGATGGGTTCGTTCCTCTCGGAGGCCGGCTGGATGCAGGAGAGCATCTCAGTGCTATCGTGCCTCAATGCAAGACTGAAGCGCCTGCCGCCCCACAAGTACTGGCTCGAGATGCGCTACGATTGCTTGCAGCGGTATTTAATCCATAATACTCCTATTGTTTCTCCAAAATGAGGTTCTAATTCTTGTCTTTTTGGACAGCCTGCTGTATGCCGAATCGTCGCATTGCAACTTCAAGCTGGCACACCGCACCTACGAGGAACTGATTGAGCTGAATCGGTCCCTGACCGACTCGGTGCCCGCCCAGCTGGTGGCCCTGACCTACAGCCAGATTTCGGCCATGTACTTTGCCCGCAACGAGTACGTCAACAGCCATATGTGGAGCGGTCTGGCCATGCGTTCTCTCAAAGCATCCGCCCCGCCGCGGTGAGTACCATGGGACTACCTTGTACCTTGGGAGTAACGTTCATTTGTAATCTTGATCCTCGCATAGCATCGCCATCGATGTACTGCGCCAGGCGGCCAAGGCCTGTGTGGTTAAGCGGGACTTTGCCCGGGCCAATCTACTCATCTGCCAGGCGGTGCGACGTGCTCGGTAAGCAGAGCCTCCTGGCCTCTCTGCCTCGCTCTTTTTCGCTTCAGTACCCCCACCTAACATCCCTTTCTTTTGACAGCCAACACTTTGGAGTCAATCATCAGAAGTACGGCGATGTCCTGATGGACTATGGCTTCTTTTTGCTCAACGTGGACTCGGTGTTCCAGTCGGTCAATGTCTACAAGGAAGCCCTGGCCGTGCGTCGCGGCATCTTCGGCAACATGAACTTCCATGTGGCCATTGCCCACGAGGATCTGTCCTATGCCTACTATGTTCATGAGTACAGCACGGGTGACTTTAGCTGCGCCCAGGATCACGTGGACAAGGCGGTGACCATTATGAAGAATTTAGTGCCGAGCAATCACCTGATGCTGGCCTCGGCCAAGCGCGTCAAGGCCCTTCTCCTCGAGGAGATAGCGCTGGACAAGATGGCCGATGGCATTGATGAGGAGGATCTGCTGTTGCAGTCGGAGCAGTTGCACAATTTCGCACTGCTCCTATCGCTGGAGGTGTTCGGCGAGGTGAACGTGCAAACGGCCAAACATTACGGCAATCTGGGGCGGCTGTATCAAACAATGAATCGCTTTGAGGAGGCGGAGCGTATGCATCAGAAGGCCATCAAGATCAAGACGGATCTGTTGGGTGCCTTTGACTACGAGGTGGGCCTCTCCATCGGTCACCTCGCCTCGTTGTACAACTACCAGATGAAGAAGTATCGCGACGCAGAGAAGCTCTACTTGCGCAGCATCGATATAAGTGAGTGGACTCGTACGTTTCTGTTTCTTTGATGATTATTGTGTGTTTTTTTGAAGGCTTGCGCTTGTTTGGACACTCGTATTCGGGTCTGGAGTATGACTACCTGGGGCTGTGTCATGTCTACGAGACTCTTCATGACTTTGAAAAGTATTTACAATACGCGCACACTCTGGAGAACTGGCAGATCCTGCGCGGTCAGAATATTACACAAAACGTAAGCCACATTAGTCTTCAACTATTAGATCATCTAATGTTTCTGTATGGCCCGTAGAAGTCAAGCTATCCGGCCATCGAGGAGGATTACACCATCGAGGAGGTGAAGAGCAAGTTCTTCAACATGAGCGCACCCAACTCCTCGAAAGTCAGCCCACCGCAGCTGGAGTTTAACTGAGCAGGGGCCTTGGTAGCGGCAATGGCAGCACAGGCACCCGCACCCGCACCACAACCACAACCAGAACCAGATACTGAACCCGAATCGGAGACACTGGATTCTGATTTGGATTCGGATAGCACAAACCAGATAGGCTACAGCAGAAACGAACACGAAAAGGAGAGCAGTAGCGGAAGTGGCGGCATCTGCACTTTGTCGTAGATAAGTCTTGAATAAGCTAGCCATGTTGATGTAGTCCGAGGAGACGAGGCAGTGTAGAAAGGATGATAGAAGCAAGGTGTATGTGTGGAGAACGAGGAAGCGGTGGAACCTTCACCCTTGCCGCTCTCTAGACATCTATCTATCTATATATAGACATGTGTATAAGGATGTAGGCAGTTGGTAGTGCGGTCGCGGTCGTCCCTGTTCCGTTTGATCCAATGTTTCTATATATATATTTTTTTTAATTTGTTTCATTTCCATCGAATAAGTCCCTCAATACCTCGATGTTAACAACCCCTCCTGTGTATTTAACTCGTGGAGTGGAGTGCTCTGTCCAGTCATACTAATCGCCACCAAAACATAACCAACCAACCACCAGCCACAGTGTAGCGTCATCGAATACGTCCAATAACCCCAGCAGATCCTGGAGTTGTCACCCACCATATAAACAAAAAAAAAATTATAAAAACAAGTAAACAATTTATTAAATTTATTAAACATTTTCTCCCAGTAAGCTCATCCCAGCCTAGGCTGCCAGCTATAGGAAGTATTCTTTTCGAGCTTTTGGTTTAGATTCTTAAAAACTAATTAATTCTTATCTATTCTTCTAACGTATTTCGGCCAATGTACAAAAAAACAAAAAAAATATTTAATTTTTTTCCCCTCGAATTCGTTCAACAATTTTTCACTATTATGCTATTTTTAAAAATAACAAAAATTATGTAACTTAGGAAGTATAGAATTGAAGGCTATATATTTCTGTGTAGCATCTATTGTGATCCATTTGATAAACCAAGAAGTAAAAAATATTCGCTGTAGAGAAAATATTTTGTTTGTTTTTTAAGTTTGATTACCCCCCCTAATCATCCTATCCCCATCCCCGTATCCAAATCCAGTGGCATCCGCATCCGCACGGATCACTCGTTGATTGTTAGAACATTTTTGTAGCACAATTTTAGAGTTGTACAGGAATGTATAGTATATATAATCGTATTCTAGCATTAGATATATGCCTATATATTCGATACATTCACTTGCAACACTTGGGGTATTGTCGCATTAAATTAATAAATAAATTAAAAAAAAAAAAAAACATAAATCTGGAGCATCAAGATATATGCAGGCGATGGATCCATCCGATGGAAAATGTAAATAATTCGGTTGAATATTGCTGCTTCCAGTTAAACAACAATTTTATTATTATTATTATAAAATATATATAAAATCTAAATATAAATATATAAATAAAACAAAAACTACCTATAAAGTACGGACAATTTATACCACTAACTTTTGGTACGTAGGGCGACAAAGTCTACTTATGAACAACAACAACAACATCGTAGTTGCAAAACTCCCTTTTTTGGCATTACTTAGCAATAGATTAAGTGCAACGTCGTAAATCGCAAAAATAAAATACCTGCAATAAATATATATATTTCGTGGGTTTATTTTCTCAAATCTTAAGCATTTAAAATCGTAATTTGTTGCATGCAGATCGACGGAGACTAATCTTACGAGTCGTATGACACCTCGCTTTTCAAAATCCGTCAAGAAATGGCCAAGATATGAGCTTGGAAAGATCCGCCCTGGCGGCCACCTCGCAGCGAAAAATTCTTCAAATTCCTATGGGAGCTCATCTGAAGTACCAGGCGAACAGAAATCAGCAGAAGGTGGCTGAATTCAAGCAGTGCAAGCAGTTTCACCTCCCCCCTCGCCCTAGCTTCGACAGAAAAACGACACAATTGTCCCTTATCCGGCCCCATGGACTTCACATTCCCATGCTAGTTTCTCAAACGAGACTTAATTGTTAGGACAATAAATAGATGCCCCACCGTCTCCTAACTAAGTTTCTTGAATATTTTATACGTTCTACTTCACTGAATGATGATTTTAGAATCCTAAATTAGCAGTTTTGTTTCTTAATTAAAATAAATATTAAATATATAAAGGTAAAGGCAAAATACGGGTTAACCGTCGTATTTTGCCGTCAAACGGTACTATGCCAGCTTTAGCCAATCCCAGCCTCCGAATTCGAGATCCACAACGGTGATTTTCACCTTGTGATGGCAAAACTAAAGTGGATCACGTTGATTTTCTGCGCGTGTCACGAAATGGGGCTGTCGTGAGCGAAAATGTATGGGAGCGGCGTATCGTGCTGAGCTCGCGTGCCAAGTGCCGTTAAAAATCACTTCTGTTCTCCCATCACTCGTACAGCCCAATTTGTCTACCTGTCCCCCTCTAATAATGATGGGTAGCAGCATCCCGTTCCCCCCCATGGACTATGATGCTGTGATCCCAATTCCATAAGGGTCAATGGGGGGGGTAGAGTGCCACCACAGGGGGGGTTTCTCCCTTTCCCACCCATGGCTATCTCAGAAAAATTGATCTGAACTGCTTGCACTGCTTGAATTCGGCCACCTTCTGCTGATTTCTGTTCGCCTGGTACCTCAGATGAGCTCCCATACGAATTTCGAGAAATTTTCGGCGCGAGTCGGCCGCCAAGTCGGATCTTTCCAAGCTCATATCTCGGCCATTTCTGAACGGATTTTCAAAAGTGATACCATTTTGAAATCAGGACATCAATATCCTTCGATCTGCAAAATATTTCAAAAATCGAACAAAAAAATTTGGGCCGATTTTCGCAAAAAATCATGATGTTACCCCTGTCAAAAATTGGGAAAATGGGGTCGAAATTTTATTGTTTGATTTTTGAAATCTTGGGATGCAGTTCGAAGGATATTCTTGTCCTGATACCAAAAAGGTATTCCGTTTCCAAATCGGTCAAGTTATGGCTGAAATATACGCTTTCAAAAATGCGTTTTCTGAATTTTAGGATTTCTTATCTTTGAATACGAATATCTCTGCCATTTTGTAACCGATTAAGGAATGAAATACCATTTTGAAATCCGGAACTCAATCGCCTTTGATCTGCATTTAAAAATCTTTAAAAGCGAACAAAAAAAATTTGACCCAATTTTCGTTATTTTTTATAGGGGTAACATCATGATTTTTTGAAAAAATCTACCAAAAAATGTATTGTCCGATTTTGAAGAACTTTTGATGCTGATCGAAGGATATTCAAATCCTGATTTATAAATGGTAATCCTTTTCCAAATCGGATCTAAAATGACTAAGATATGAATATCCTAAATTAAGAAAATCGAGTCAAAATTGTTTCGCTCGATTTCAAAAAGCTTCGGATGCAGTTTGAAGGATATAGTAACCCTGACGACAAAATGGTATTCCGTTTTTAAATTGGTCAAGTAATGGTGGATAATTCAATATCAAATATGCGTTTTCTGTTTTTTTTTGGTTTTCTGCTGTTTTTTACCCATAATCAAATTGCCCCAAGCTTTTTTGAAAAGTAAAACAACATTATTTTGTTAAGTACTCAGAGACTCTTGAATAAAATATTTTATTTTGAATAAAACACATTTTAAAAATCATATGTTTTGTTACATTTTCTTTACACTGTAAAGTATGTAGATTATTTCTATTGACAGGAACAGCCAAAGTTTCAATTTGTCGGCTATAATATATAATCCAAAAATGGGTTCATATATACATTCAGATGTTACCGGGCGGTGTTTCTGGTCGCAAACCTAAAAGAAAGGAACAACATTAATATAAGTTACTAATATTTTACAGTATTTTTATATATTGTTTAAATTTTATAAGGTCTTTAATATTTTGATAATATTTAAAAACGGTTTTTCATAATTTTAGAGATGAAAAATTTAAACAGGCGCCCTATCGATTGCAGTGCTGATATAATCGATAACGGATATAGACGTTTTCCAACACATTAATTATATCGACCTATCGATACTTGCGGCTAACGTTTTTCAACACATAAATTATATCGATAGTTGCCGTCGACGCTGTCCAACACTCTTCCGTTGGCAACACCAAATTCAAATTTTGATTTTATTCTTAAAGTTTGATAATAGCTTAAATAAGAAGTAACTTTCTTAATTCTATATATAATTCAGAATCACTGAACCAATTTTGTTTCATTATCGGTTTCGTGATAGGATATAAGTCAAAAAACAGTTTGGTCACGCAAATAAATTTATGTTTTTTCATATCAAAAAAGGAAACATTGAATTTTCTATTAGACTTTTTCATTTGAATTTTCAAAAATCTTATTTGTATATATTATTTTTTTGTATTAAAATAAATGTAACTGAAAGAAAATTTGAATAAGATAACACTCGATCGATATCGATCTAGTGGAGCTAAATTATCTGAAGAACAAAAAGAACTGAAAAAGCCGGCGGAACTGGTGGAGCCAGAGGAACTATCGGTATCAGTCCTTCTTCAAAGCGGAACCAGGGGAGCCTAGGGATAGTTGGCGGCTTTTTGTGTGAAATTTTGCCGTCACCTGTGATAAACATGGAGAACGCCCTGTTTACGAACGTCAAGAAGCTGTACGATCACCAGCTCTACGAATGCGTAATCCCTCCGGTAAGATACACCAACATGATCGTAAAAGATCAGATTTCTAAGAACAAAAGCTTTGTACACCAGGCCAGCCTGTTGAGCACTCTGCTTCAGAAAGATCGAAATATAGCCACTCTGGAGATGGAGTACCAGGTGCAGCTTTACTTGGCCAACTCGAACTACAAGGAGCGACACTTTCGGATAGCTATGCGGCAACTGGATGATCTTTTGTATCAACGACGCACCATGATCCGCTACAAGAACGCCTGCCTGGTGGCCATTGAGAGTGCCTATGCTCAGTTCACGGACGTGGAGTTGCGACGGCGCCTGGCCGACTGCTACAAGGAGATCGGAGAATTTGCCAAGGCCATTGCTACGCTCAATACCATTCCGGTCAAGTTGAGGACACCGAGAGTTAACCTGATGCTGGCGCGCCTGCAGCATCGAGGCCGAGGATCGGGAACTATGGGTACTTCCATAGCCAGTTTAGGCTGTCGCAACAAAAAGGAGGCCATCTTGGCATACAAGGATGTGGTTCGCGATTGTCCAATGGCCCTGCAGGCCATAGATGCTCTTCTGGAGTTGGGCGTGGATGGGAATGAGGTTAACTCGCTGGTTATGAGTGGTATGTTGTTACTCCTTGAATTATTCGAAATCTAGACAGTATTTCCCTTTTAGCCGGCACAACACCCAACAACATAGACTGGCTTATTACCTGGATCAAGGGTCTGGCCCAATTGTACGACTGCGATCACAAGGAAGCGGCTCATACCTTTCTATCCCTGAACGATGGAACCCAACTGCGACGTAACGAGCACCTTCTGGTGGCCATTGGTAAGTGTTATTACTACCACGGCACCCCCATCTTGGCGGCCTATTATCTCGCCACGGCGGTGGCAAGGAATCCAAATAATATGGAAGCTGTCGGACTGCTCTCTTTGGCGTATGACGTCGGAAAAATGCCTGAATCCGAACAGGAACGCGAACGTCTCTATGTCCAGGTGGCCGCCGAACGGGAATTCACCGCAGGACATTGGTTCATCCATGCCCTGAAGATGAATTCGATTGGAAAGTATGAGCGTGGCTTGGATTTCGTGGAACGCTGCTTGGATATGGAATCGCATCACTTGGAGGGATTACTTCTGCGGGCGCGAATGCTCTCCTCGCTGGAACGTTTCACGGAGGCGGTGGTAGCCTATCGTGTGGTCCAGACAGTGGCACCGTTTCGTTTTGAGATCTACAAGGGTCTGTTCCATTGCTATGTGAGTCTGCGTAGGATTAAGGAGGCGGAGGCCATGTGTACGTGGAGTATACGATGCTTTCGCAGCTCGCCAAGAAGCTATACGGTGGGTATATATTAAATACACTTTAATAAACTTTTATCCTTCATCCTTTTTCGCCTTTTCCAGATGATGGGACGCACTCTGTTTCATTTCTGCAACCGGGAGAAGGTCAAGATTAGTGCCCGCCGTTTTGCCGAAAAGGCGCTGAAAATCGATCCCGACTACGCGCCCGCAGTGGCCCTTCTGGCGGAGATCTATAAGGAGGAAGGGGAACTCAAGTCGGCCATCAAGCTGCTAGAAACTCATGTGGAACGGGCGCCGTGCGCAGATCTCTTCCGTATTCTCGGTGATATAATGAGTAGCGAAAAGCAGTCCATCAAGGCCTTGGAGTATTATTATTTGGCACTGGGGTATGGATTAGTTTATCTTATATCTTTTGGCCACAAAATATATAATATTTTTATATTAGATTGGATTCAAAAGACCCCCAAGCCTTGATGGGTATCGAAGCCTTGAAGAGTTCTGGGATTCCCGATGGCTCATCCAGTGATGATAAGCGTTCCACATCTAGTTCCAGTTTTGCGGATACCTCGTCGGCCGGTGGTCAACAGTCCGAACCCGATTTTGTCCTTAGCGATAACTATGTATCACAGATCCTCGGTGATCCAGTCTCATCGCCGGCCCTAAGTCAGCATGGAGATGGCACGGGTGATATCGATGTAGATGTAGATGTGGATGTAGATGTAGCTGCAGCTGCAGATGCCGATGCAGATCCAAATGCACATGCAGCTGAAGATGCTGATGCTGATCGGTTGGTGGAGGGTGAAGTCGAAGCCTCGGACACAATGACGGAAACCTTGTGGCACGATGCCGATACCGAAATGAATAACTGAAGTTATCATTTTGGTTTTTTGTTTATTTTATCCATGTTGTTACTTGATCTTGCCATATAAATATAATCGTTGTAGCTTTAGACTTAGATCATGTCTGTAACGTGTAATCAATTTGTTGATAATAAAGTGAGAAATTATAATATTAAAAAACAATATTTTATATTTAAATTGTGTCAATATTTATGCTTATTTTTTAAACAATTAAAGATTTAAAATAGTGTTGCTCCATATTTAAATCGAGCCGCCAAAGACCAGTGCTGATAAGCACAAGAAATGTACGGACTAGGGATGGAAAGTACTTGGCGGTTATTTCCGCCGCTACTAACACTGATTTTAAACCAATTCGATTTCTAGAGGACTTTATTATCCTCTAATCTAAAGGATTTTATGTAAAAAGTCTTAAAGAATAGTTTTGTTTTTATGATATCAAGCAAAAAAGTCAACTTTTATTCCTATTATTGAATTTTGTTGGGTGTAAAGAGCCAGAGATGTGCACCCAAAGGGTATTACTAAAGGGCTTATCTATTTTAACTGGCTTTTTATACGATTATGGTATATTTTATAGTATTTAGAATATATAATACTATACATTATGAAGAATTCTTCGATTTTGGTATAATATAAGCCTTGTATTTGGTAAACAAGGGCTGCGATTTCATCGTTATAGTTGTATATTCATATATTTCAAAATCAATTTGGTGTAATTTTGCGGCTTTCAATAATGTAAACAATGTATGATTTTTGAAAACATATGACACACAAAAAAACATGACCCAATGTTAGTAAAATAACTAAGATAATAAAATTAATCTATGTGGTTTAGTAAAGACATTATTGTCACTCTATTGATAGTAAAATTCTTGGAACATTTGTCACGGATGGTTTAGTTTTTCAAGATGTTTTTAAAACCTTATAGATAATAACCTAAATTGTCTAAAACTTTGCTAAAAATCTTGCTTTTTTGGAATTAAAGCACATTTTCAAATTTAGGCGGAAAACGAGCTCTTCTAGTAAGTTATCAGGGCTACTCAGTCGCAGTTCGACAACACTGGCATGCCTGGTGGTGGCTTATAATATAATACGAATATAATATAAGTTGGAGTATAAGAATAGCTATAAGGGGGCACTCGTATAGCCCGACAACTTGTTTTCAACTTGTTGTTTATCAATCGCGAGCCGCGTTGCATGTGCTCCGTTCCGGATCCGATTCGATACGTTTTTCGTTTCGTTTCTATTGCCCGCGGCATTTTGTTAATATTTTTTTTTTTTAGTTTTCAAAGAAATTTTTTAAAACAAATTCCATGTTTAAAAATCAAACTAATCGAAAAGTGCGAAATTCTAACTCCAAACAGTTTCGAACATCAAGCGAATATTAAATTTTTCAATTGAATCGAAAAATAATAAAAGAGCGGGCAGCCCGCGTAAAGTGTAAAGTGTTGACAGAATTTTCAAACAATATACAACCCGCAAATATTGATGTTAATTAATATGATTTGATTCGATTCGATTTCCATTCGATTTTTCCCACAATTTTTTATGATTTTGTGTCGTGTGAAAAAATAAACAAATAATTTAATAAATTAGCAAGAAACTACGATTTGGTGGAATTTAATAAAATAAAAAGGTAGGGGTTTTTATTTTTGAATAGTTTTCAAGACTTTCCTGAGATTAGACAAAGGCTTTCGGTTGGTGTTGCAATCCAATTTTAGAATCTATATCTCGTATATTTTGTAATATATATTTTTCTTGAATTTAATTTTTGTTTGGTCTAGTTTTATTTTATCGCCCCATTATTCACTTTTGCCTCGGCTAACGGCTCACTTAATCGGCCTGTGTGTTTATCAGCGGAATTAAAGCATACGGAGAGGGTTACACATGTTTGGTCCGATTGTGATTCGGTTCTGTATATTCTATATAGCACTCTTTCATTCCGTCGATAAAGCAAAACAGTGCAGATCGTTAAAATATGTTTTTTTTTATTTGTTATGAAAGCATAAAAAATAATACTATTAACGATATGGAAATTGTAACAACAAAAGGTTAAACTACTACACGCACTTGTTGATTGCTGCTGCAGTTTTTTGTGCAGTTTTTTTTTTTTGCCATATACTATATACTTTGAGTTGCAAGTTTCTTTGCAAGTTCACTTGCCGATTTCCTAGAACGACACGATACCACCAACGGTCCACGCAGATTTGTCATGTCAACAAAAGAATATGTACATATGTACGTAGTACGTACTACATCTGGCCAAAGTTCCCTTGGCTTTGTTTGCTTTTTTTTTGCTTTTTTTACCATCATAAGTTCGGGGTTCCGGGAAGTCGATGAAGCCGATGAGGCCGATGAATAATATTAAAATCTGCTGCTGCACATCATAAATTTATTTACTCACACATAACCCCGTCCTTCTCGATCCAGCCAGCCAGCCGGCCAACCCCTTGGGCCTAAGAAACTCCTCAAAGTATTGCCCTCTTGAAATCACTCATACGCCCCCGTTGCCCCCACTTTGACGCATTTTTTTTTTTCGTTGTTTGCTAATTAAAAGCAATAAGGCAGGACGCAACATACAATTCTGGGTATTAAAACAGGTCCTTTTTTTGGAAATAGTTTGAAAAGTAGAAATGGATAGGTGCCAAAACAATGTTTTTATGAAAGCACAACCATGCTTCTTAGTCTGTAGTCTTTCTTGATTTTTTAATACCTTTTTTGTTTAATTTTGAGGAATATTATTGATTGAAATATAATCTTTAATAAAAAAGTATTATATTTCATATATTACTTATATATTTTGTGACTTTTATTCGCTTTTTTTGTAATACTTGTTATAGATAGATATATTTTTAAGCGCTCTGTATGAATAAATTGGTATAGGTTTCATAAATTAGTTAAATAATAGGTTTCTAAGGAGTATTATTTATTGGTTTAAATATAAAATGTATTTTAGACACTCAAATTTTCATATTAACTTGTATTTTATCAAAAATTAAATGTTTTAAAAATGCTATTTTGGTTCGAGAACAGACATATATTTTTTAGGTCTTGGCTATAAAGTTTTTGGAATGAAAAATAAAAGACTACGCATTTTAAAGACACTTTCCACTAGGGATACTACTTCTAAGGACTTCAAAGTACTAAATTCTTGTTTTTTTTAACCAAAAAGGGTTATACATTTTTTAAAAATCTAGTAACCCTACTATTCTACCCTCAATTGTAAACTGCATTTGTGTGCGAATGGGGAAGTGCCCGGGTATGTGTGTCAACAAACAATTTACAGCTGTTTACGCCTGTTGGACGCCCGCAACAACAAACACATGGAGAGCAGATCCTGTGAAAGGAGCAGAAACGCAATTCAGGATTTACCAGAGACGCAGAGAGCGAGAAAGAGAGTCCTACGACTTTCTCTGAGAACCGTGAGGTTTTTGGAAAATTCTCAGGCCGTTATTCAAAGAAAACACTAAGAAAAAAAAAAGAAGCTGATAAGGAAATCAGTCATATATATATGCACATATGTACATATATGTATTTATGACTTATGTGTAACGAATTGGCTGATAAATACATTTGTTTGTCTTTGTGGGAATCGAGAAGTCCAGACGCCGAGAATCGAGAATCGAGATTCGAGAGTCTAGTGATAGTGGTTCTCTGGGCTGGGCCCTTGGGCCTTCCATATGGTTCCTTGGATTTTCCCAAGCCCTGGGAAACGCATGCGCCACCCCATCCCACTATCCCTTCTGGCCACCCCGGCCCCTTGTCCTTTATGGATTACAATAATTTCCAGCCTGCGACAGCGAAATCAATGCACAGTGGGCATTTCCCAACTAAGGGTTCCCCACTGTTTCATAATTAATCACTATTTAATGGGTTTGGCTATTAAAAAGGATAACAGTGGGTGTTGGGGGTGAAAAGGAATGTTTCTTAAATGTTTTTTGATTTAAGAGGGATCATAAAATCTTTTAAGATCTGAGAGTTATTCAATTTCAAAATAATAAGAAAAACAATTCCGAAAAATAGCTTAAATTGTAGTTGTTTTTGAAGATTTTATTCGGGTTCTATAACTCTATCTTTAGTTAGGGGGCTTATTTCTTTAAAAACAAATATTTTGAGTTTCTAAAATATATATATATATCTAAAAGAAACAATATAAATATATTGAAACATAACTAATTTTTAAGGATACTTCTTTTAAAGATACATACATATATTCTAAAAAAATGATAGTTTCAAGGTATTAAAAAAGTATTTCCAGAATTTCTTTGATATTTCCCATGATATTTTCTTTAAAAAAATTTTTTTTTTATTAGCCCTATAAAAATTTTAAAATCATTTAAGATTTATCCAAAAAAACCCCCATTTCAAGCCCATTGTGTCCTCCACTTGGGCGTCCAACTATTGCAATGCGTGTGCTCACTTCTCTCCCAAATAGTTGGGCAAGGACTTGCGCGGAAGCTGTCTGCGGAAAAGGGGGCGGTGGGCGGCTGGCTGACGGCTGAAAGGACATGCCACTAAAGGTAACAGTGAGCGGCAGCAACAGCAACCCCCTCGCTATATGGCATAAACTTCCCTCTAGAACCGTAATGGGTCCTTCAGTCATATGGTCGCCGCCGAGTTGCGGAGTTGCGGATTCCGTAGAGCGGATTGCGGATAGAGCGGTTACCGGGGTGGTGTCGCAAAATCGCGTAGTCCTGCCTCCTGCCTCCAACTTTAACTCTTCTTCCTTAAACCAAAAATATTTAGTTTCCAACTTTAAAAGATTCTTTTCGGTCTATAGTTCCGGTTGGATTTTATTCCAATATATATTGTATTTTTTTTTTTTAATGTGCGTGAGTGAAGTGTAAGATTGTTTTGTGGTTTTCTGTGAACTTTTGCGACAACAAAACAACAACAAAAAAAGCTGGCACCGTTGGCGTTTTTTAGCACATTTACCGCTATATAATAACGTGCTTCCTTGTCTGGCCGAAATTTTCATTTTTTTTTTTTTCGCAAGTCGCGTGCAGAATTTAACGTAAGTTTATTGTTTCTTTTTTTTTTTTTTTTGTATTAGGGTGGCAACCATCGATTTGCGTGTCGCTCAGAAAAACAACAACAACAATCCTTACTTTAACTCCAAAATCGGGGAAACAAAAGAAACCAAATAGCTATCAAAAATAGCTAAAAAATATATCTAATGATTATAATAATTATTATTATTATTTATAATTTATTATTAAAGTTGGCTAACTTATATCTGTCTATCTGGCTTGTTAATATTTATACCATGTACCATACCATACCATCCAATAACTGCAAAAGAATGTGTTTATAATTCCGCATGCAACCAAAGACCCCCATACGTTTTCTCTCTCTCTATAAAAAAATAAATAAATAAACAACAAAATAATATAAACATAAATATGTACACTCCAAGAATATGTCACAGTTCTTATCCGCCAGAGATCGTGTATATATGTTTATGTCTTTTCGCTGTGGGGATCCAGTTTTAACCACTTAGGGGTAATAGCACTAAAGAACTTAACAACTGGCTACCCCCACCCCGATCCACCGATATCGACGAACAAAGAGCAATATGCCATTATGGCATTATGGTTCCATTATATATTCTTGGCCAGATAAGAAAGTAAGGCGCCATATAATATAGTTTGTATTGAATTATTGTGAGATATTGAGAGTATAGTTTGTCTTTATGGTTCAGAGTGTAGGAGAAACTACTTTTCCAGGGAAATATATAAGCTATATAAGAAATAAATCAAATTCCAACAAGACTAAAGTTTCCTACTCTCTAAAAAAAATAGTTTATAATTTGTGGTCTGAATATTTCTTATAAAATATGTAGTTTCTCAATATGTTCTTTGAATTTTCCATTTTCCTCTAGTGACTTTTCCTCTAGTGACTCATGGCTTTGGTGGCGCCTCTTATTCATTATTTTTATAATTTTTTTTTACTGATTTTTGCCAGGAGATTGAGTCACGTCAGCTGTTTTGTCTAATGAGTAACGGGATGCCAAGGGCAGAACCGGGGGGAGTGGGTCTAACGGTGGGTTGACCTTGGTGACCGCATGCGCAGGCACATTCGTCACGCACTCGAAAATGACCAGGAGTTTTCCTCAAAAAAAAAAAAGGTCAAACATCAAGCCTCCCCTGTATGTGTGTGTGGTGTGTGTGTCGGTGTGGCATTGACCTTGTCTTGTAAATTTTTACCTGTTCAGGTAATAAACCAAAACCTATTTTGTAAAACCTCACCCGCCGGGCCCAAGCGATCCTTCAAGGTCCCAGAGACAAAAAAAAAAAGAATAAAAATCAAACAGAAGGTGTCAAGAAATACATAAAAATTTTTGGTCATCAATCTATAGAGTTTCTTTGATCATCCTCATGTTTAAAAATAAATAATTTTTGAAGTGATATTTTTGTGTTAAATATCATTCGCATAAATGAATATTTAATCAAGTCATTAAGTTAATTTAAGACTTTGTTTAGAAGTAAATTTAATTTCTTTATGAAGGTATTTGCATTAATTATAGATACTTTATAGATATCAATATAGACACTATGTTTTTTAGATTCTTATATTTTTTTTTTTTAAATCCCCAAACCATTTAGCAATAATCTTGGAATTAGTATTTATTTTTTGTTGAGGGACACATTTAAGTATAATTACATTTCTGTTGTCAAGGGATTATTTTGAGGCTTTTTGTTGAGTCACTGCCAGAGAATAGGGGGGGATTACGAGTCCCTAAAAATCCACACCCAAAATATTTCTAATGGGTTTCAGTATTATATTCATTCTCAGCCCGGCTTGCGTGCGAATTTTTGTGCATTTTTTTTATTGTTTGTTTGTTAGTTTAGAGTTATTTATTTTTTTTTTGGTTTCTACTCTCCATTGCCATTTCCGCTTGTCAAACATTTGTCAGCTTTTAGCTTATTGCCAACTTCTGTAGCTGATATATATATATATATATATATATATACACCCAGTTATACTATAGAGAGTCTCTGAACGATTGCGAAACAAGCCTACACCGATTGTGAGTCTGAATGAGAGTTTTTGGTTTGGGTTTTGGGTTTTGAGTCCGAGACTTATAGCCCACCTCGGTTTCTTCTATTTTTTTTTGCTCATTTCATCGCATATTTACGTAGGCCATTCGAGCCAAGTTAACGCCTTTATTTATTGACTTATTTGTTTAGACCAGCTCTCCAGCCATCTCTCTCGTAGTATTCATAGTGGTCTACGCTCACTCAATGACAGCAACAACAACAAAAAAAGCAAAAAAAGCTAAAAAACAAATAAAAAACTCCATTTACCGTTATTTCACTTACGTTTCTAATGATGATGTCACTAAAGAAAAGCCCAAAAAAATCTTAACCCTAACCCTACTCATATTATTTGCATATTTTATTCACAATTTCCTTTATTTCTTTCAGGTTCCGGCCTTTGAGAATCAAATAAAAATTATATACGAAACCGAACCAGAAGAAAATAAAAAAGCAGGAACTTCAACACCCGATCGGTAAGTTCATCAACTTTTCTTTGATTTTTCCAAGGGGGCTTGGGTCGAAAGGTCAACTTGTGGAAAATGTCGGGGGGAAACACATCTCAAGAACTTTCATCGAGAACTTTTATAGGATTTCTGTGCGACAGCTGTGGCTCATTTATTTTCCAATTATTTGAAACATATTTCAAATTCCATTAAGATTAAGGTTTAAAAATAGACATGAACTTTTAATAGGGTTTAAATATAGGAGGTTTATTCCCAAAACTATCATAGTTATAGTCTTGGAAGTATATAATTTTAAAAAGAGTTCTCATATTCATTAAATTCTTAGAAAGACTGCTTCAAAAACTCTATTAACACTTTCAAAAACTCTTTCAAAAATTGTAAAGAAACTCTTTCAAAAACTCCTTAAAAATATATCTACAAACCTTCCTAAAGCCCTATCCCACTTGTCATTATCTTATTTCTTAGCCAATTATATATTCTAAACGCCTGATGAGTTATAGCTCATCTAGAAAAACATATAATCACTCTGCTGATTTCTTGGGAAAGTCAGGCCATGAATCATGATACTATATACTGAACAGCGTACACCCGATGGCTCTATCAAATGCCTATCTCTGCCGGCCAAGATAAAAATACTAGACGGTTTCGTCATAGGCGCCTCAATGATGATGACGCCTCGTGAAATACTCGAAAATAAAAAGAATTTTATATATATATACATATATATACTTATAAGATTCGTTGAGGGGATTATGTCGTAGGTCAGGGAATCTGAAAATGTGCGAAAGAAATGCTCATTTTTATGAATGGGCAATACGCCAAGAAAACAAACAAAAAACTGACTCACTTAACACATTTTGGCTGCAGTTTTGTTTTCATTTTCTTGATTCGTAATATTATCATGAGGTTTTTTTTTTTATACTATATTATCAGTCGATTGGCATTCAAAATAAGTAACTATTTTGGCGAAAAATTCATTCAACGAATGGACGATCGATAGCCGGATAGCAGGAAAGTCGATTTGTCGTCATTTGTCATCCAGGTTTTGAATATTTATGAGTATACTCGTATGTGTATGTCTCCTAGTTCCTCGATCACTTTTTGGACAGTTCATTTATTTCATTTCGACAGACAGATAGTCGGATAGACGGGGGAGAGTGTGTCAAGTGATCGCCAAAGGGCCCAAAGATGTAGATGTTTGGCATACAAATGGGATATGGTATGGTTTGGATCATTCAGTTGATCAAACAGAGATAGTCCGGATGACAGACAGCTATAGGGATATTATTCATCAAAAGGTGCCAGGAGGATCGACCTGAAGGAGGAGGAAAATCAACCTAAAAGGAGAGTTCAGACCACCACAATTGCATGGCATTACATGGCATTTTAATGAGCAAGTTGGGGGGGTTTCCCTAAATGATTTATATCTATTTGGAGATGGAAGATATTTCTTTGATGTTATCATAGATAAGGTTTTGTTCTATAAGATTTAGAGGAATGTTAATGATTAGAAAAGGAAATTAGTACTTGAAGGAAAAATCTATAAACTTTTAGTTGTTTTCTCACCTAACTTTCAAGTTTATAAATTTGTCTTCTTGGGTTCTTTTTATTTAAACTATTATACATACTTTGTAAAAGTTTCAGAACATTTTCAACTTTTTTTTGTACTAGGAGGGGCATCCCTTTGTGGCATTTTTAAGTTTTCCATTGTTTCCCTTGGCCATCTCTTTGTGTGGCAGCCACACATCTCATTCAATTAATTGCAGACACAGCCGCAACTTAGTTGGTTGCACATCCATCTCAATCTGAACACTGCCGCAGTATCTGTATCTATATCTGCGAAGAGTATCTGCATCTGCATCTTGCATCAGTTTCCCAAGCCCAGGCGCCTTTTTAAATTTAGTTGTTACTGCACGCAATTTTCTGTTATATAGATATTCATATATATAGATATATCTTTTTGTTGGATCCAAGATGAGAGTCTAGAGTCAAGTCTAGAGTTTTGAGTCGCAACTCAAATTAATTCGAGTGAAGATCAGAGATGAGATGCTCGCTGTGGTCATGAACCCGCATTGTAGTTGCCATTTTATTTGTTTATTAATTGCTCAGCCCCCCTGATGGATGATGTGGCTATATATCTGTACATCTGTAGCTTCATCTTCATCTTCATCTCCATATATATATTTACTATATATGTATCTCCATCAGCATGTCGTTGCCATGTGGGTTGTGGGTGAAATGAAACCATTCAAGTTGACTCTGAATGATGACAATGAAATGCCGGAGTTTCACTTGGCTCTGCCACTCTATGGCTATGTTTTTTTTTTATGTTTTTAATGATTTTTTTTAATTATGATTTTTTTTTTTTTGCTATGAATATTATGCAGCGTTAATTGGCTGTGATTTTTCAAGCGATTTCTAAGGAGTTATTTTATGAAAACGTATTTGCTAGAGATTTTTTTATAGAAAACTGAAATCAAAGTTAAGGCAAGAGAAACTAAAGGTATTATTGAATAAAAAAATGTATAGGGTTTATATATATAGCTGCTTAATTTATATTAAAGATAGTTTTTTGAAATATTGAACAAAATCGTAACCAAAGCCTCCATCTTTGTACCATGTGGAATTCTTTAAGAGCTCTCTAGATTATTTGAAATTATAAATATTATAGCCTCTCCATTTTAATGATTTAAGAAATCTCCTTAATTTAAAACCCTCTAAACTTATTGCAGGCATTTAACAAAAATCAAATCATTTGTCAAATTCCCAGAAGAACCCAACCATAACTCTAATGAACCAAAATCCTAAATGTTAATGATCCTAAGTTTCTCTATATGAATTCTTGATTTTTTTTTTTTAATGTATTTAACATCTGTCAGTCAGTCAAGAACTCAGTCAGTCATTCATTAAAAAAAAAGAAACGAAAAACAAAAAACCATCATCATAGCCCACATCATTTTTCGCGATCTTTGGCAATCTTCGTAAAGCAGGCGTGAAATCATCGTTATTATGGTGATTACTATAGAGATTTTTTTACCAGTTTTTTTTTTCGGTCTGAAATTATTATCAAATTAACACGATGCCCCATTATGGGAGGAGTTTTTCCAAGCGAAGCCGATTAAATGCCTTTTCGACGATTGTCGCCTATTAACGAAATCATTTCGGATGCGGGCGGTCTCTGATGGCTCTAATCAAAAATGTATTTATGAGATATGCGACACACAGATACAAAAACCCTTACAACACACTCACAACAATATTTTGTATCTTAGTGGGTCAGGGGTAGTACAAAAAAAAACCAAAAAACGAAAATGTTTCATTACATTTAATGACATTTAGTCATCAAGGGTTTTGATCAGAGGGGACTCTCTGATTTCAAGAGATTTCTTGTAAATCCCAGATACCTCCTCCCTGATGATAAAATGATAGATCGAATGTCCAACAAATTTATGATCACTGATCACAGATCATCAGAAAAACAAAAAAAAAAAACATACAAAATCGCTGCGCATGCGCTGGCAAATTATGGAATTGCCTTTTGCGATTCCAAGATTTGAAATTTGAAGATTTAAGTTTTTGAGTTTCTGGGTTTCGAGACCGAACCGGACCAACCTGATGTACGAAAAGGTGAAGACAAATTGGCCAGCTTACATCATATCTGTCTACCAAGTTTTTTTTTTTGTATTTTTTTGCAGAAATACCAAAAAAAAAATATGAATCGCCCAAAGGCCCCAGCAATTAAGAATTTCTGTGTCTTTTTGGCCTTTAACGTTTTTTTTTGTTTTGTTTTTCTGCACTTGGGTGGGCGAGAGATTTTCGTGTGTGTCTTTCAGTAGATTTTTGTAGATTTGTAGCCTGTAGTTTGTTGCTCATTAAGTGACTCAAATGGCAGTCAGAATTGTTGGCCGGAACAACGTAGCGAAATTCAAAACCCGAAAGGTCCAAGAATCATTATGTCAATGTCACACAGTCATACCTCATACCTCACCGATTCTTTTCCGATTCTTCTCAAACTTAACACTTGAATTCTTCTATTCTTGGAGATTTTGCAATCTTACCGATCAAGTGTCAAAAATCAATAATACCTTTTCCACTTGAGACTGTTTGGAGCTCTTTTGTTGTTTTGAATGATTTTTGAGGTTTTATTCAGGACCAGGTCTAGAATGACAAGGCACTCCTTTTTCCTTTTCAACAAAAAAAAAAGAAAAAAGGGTCTATCCATCCATTTATCCATTCATCCATCAAGAATACTTAGATCAAACGAGGTAATCCGCACACAACAAGAAAATTAAGGTCCTTGTTGAATAAAAGTTCTAGAAGATATGGATTGAATGGATATTCTATGGATTTTAATATTCTCAAGATATTTAAATATTTTTCTGAATATTTCAAAATAATTATAGACTTTTCTTTAACTAGTTTCATGTTATTTTAATTAGTAACTTTGGTAACCTTACCAACTTAGCTTTTTTTTTTGCCTTAGAAAATCATTCAATCTTTAGACTGCGTGTGTGGTGTATCTTCATTTTTTTTTCCTTTAGTTTTTTGTGGTGTTTTTTTTCTGTTTTTTTTTTAGTTTCTGTTACGATCGCCTAGCTGCAGGGGATAATTTTTGAGAGCTGATCCCCTGATTGGCCCAACTCGTAAAACCGAAGCGTGCCTCGTGCACCTCTGAGTTTTATGATCTTTTTTTTTTTTATCTGAATGTGTCTGTCGGAACACCAGGAAAGACATATATATATATATATATATATATATATATTAAGACCTGAAGCTATGGTTTATACCCTTGATTGACTGAAAAGACCAAGACCAAGAGATGCATCATTTAATTTAAACTATTTATGGATATTTTATGGGTCGCTATTTGCATTTTGGCCAACTTTCCATTTGACAATCAGAAACAGAAACTGAAACAGAAACTGAAATTGAAACAGAAACTGAATCTGAGACCCGACTTTATAGTATAGTTTGTTCATGAATGGAATTCCATTTAACGATTGCCGGTG